CATAGTCAAAAATATAAATGTACCAAGCGAGGTACCAAGTTTCGACTCTAATTTTGATACTAATTTTTGAATGGTATATTTCCAGAACTTCATTATGAACTGATCGAAAAAATCTGAGGATATTTCTGAACGCAGACGATAAAATTTATTTTCTGGTGAATTTGGAAACTTGTATTTTGCTGCTTTCTACTTGGGAACCCACTCTCTATAAATGTCGAAACTTGTGTGGCCTTACGAAGATCGTGACCTACCCACAGTATATTATCCTGATATCATCCTGATAATATACTGTGACAGTACTGTGACCTACCAATCCGAATTTCGATTCATAGCAAAAACAAAAATATCCTCAAATTTTTCCGATCAATTTATTACAGCCTGTTAAATTTCGTTCGACTTGGAAGTAGAAAATTGTGTTGCTATGATCACCTGTCTAATTCTATTTTGTATTGTCAGTATGTACCTATTTCTCATATTTGTATACAGGGTGTCCCATTGGGAAACGAAAAAACTTCAACAGTGGGTAGAGCTCATCAAGGTGGTTCTGAATATACCATATTTGTAGGGTCTCGCAAGTTTTATATCCGAGATATAGGGTGTTTTATCAATTTTGTCCAATTCTTTGTGAGGACATAACTCACAAACCACCCAGTATATTCTTTGGAATTTGGTACACAATTTCGCCTTCTTTTACCAAAGCGACTCACCTATCAGTCACGAGTCCAGGACCGGATCAACGAACATCGATCATATATCTGGACCCCAAAAATATCACCCTGTATTTTCGAATTTCCAAAATCCGCTCACATATTTGGAAAGTGCATGAAAATCTGAATCGTATGATGTACTTTTCATTTTTCCTTATGCTATTTCACTAGGTAATTTCTGATTTTGAATATGAGGTTTCATGCAATGGGATAGGTAAAAATGAAATGTTTTGAGTTTTCCCAATCGAATAAAAAAAACTTTCACGAATCACCCAGTATATTCTTTTGGAACTTGGTACACAAGTCCTCCTGCTTCTACCTCAGCGACTCACCTATCAGTCACGATGAAAATCCAGGTCCGGATTAACGAAAAATTATGATCTTCTGGGCCCGAAAAAGAACACCCAGTATTTTTGAATTTCCAAAATCCGATTCCATATTTGGAAAGTTCACAAAGAGATGAATCGAATTGTGTACTTTTTAATATGCCGCATGCTCTTTCACTAATTAATTTCTCATTCTGGAAACTCAAAACTTTCCATCTTACCTCGATTTCTACCTAAATTCAGAATCAGAAATTACTTTGTGAAATTGTATGTGGAAAAATGAAAAGTAGATCATTCGGTTCAGCTTTTTGTGCATTTTCCAAATGTGTAAGAGGATTTTGAGAATTCGAAAATACAGGGTGTTCTTTTTGGGGTCCAGAAATTTTCGTTAATCCAGACCTGGAATTTTCTCGTGGATGATAGGTGAGGCGCTTGGGTAGAATAGGGAGAACTCGTGTACCAAAGTCCAAAAGAATATACTGGCTGGTTCGTGATAATTGTTGTTATTCGATTGGGAAAACTGAAACATATTATTTTTACCTATCCAAATGCATAAAACCTCGAATTCAAAATCAGAAATTCCTTAGTGAAATTGCATGCGGGAAAATGACAAGTATACCATTCGGTTCAGCTTTTTGTGCACTCTCCAAATATTATGTAAGCGGATTTTGAATCGAAAATACAGGGTGTTCTTTTTGGTGTCCAGAAATATTATCAACTTTTCTTTATCCGGACCTGAATTTTGTTCGTGACTGATAGGTGAGTCGTTTTGGTAGAAAGAGAAGGAATTGTGTACCAAATTGCAGAAGAATATACTGAGTGGTTCGTAATTTATGTCCTCACAAAGAATTGGGCAAAATTGATAAAACAACCCTATATCTCGGATATAAAACTTGTGAGACCCTACAAATATGGTATATTCAGAACCACCTTGATGAGCTCTACCCACCGTTGAAGTTTTTTCGTTTCCCAATGGGACACCCTGTATAACGAGCTGTATACAGCAGAGAATTTTTCAAGTGATGTTCGAATGAAAGGAATGTAAATTGTGTACGCACATCAGTACTTGCAGGCATTCAGCTCAAAATCTGCCTATGACCAAATGTTGTGAAAAATATCCAGAAATTTGCGATATGACCATCAAATTCAATAACAAGAGTTCATATTTTCCATATACAGGGTGTTTCATGATATGTAGGACACTTTCCATGGGGCGATGGGTCGTTTTGAACAAATTGGAGAAAGTACCTATACTATTTACATAGGCCGTAGAAGGTTTCGTTTGCGAGGTACAGGGCGTTTAGGTTAAATAACTAGAGGAAGCATATCAGTCGATGCATCTTTCAATAATTGTGTGTTATGAGGTTTGATTTCGCAAACAAAATATGTTCCAAAATATGTGAGCCCTAAATTGTTGTCTGTTTTCAAGAAAAAGCGGAATAACTATATTCGTCTTCAAAATGTTATGTGGTCTCGAATTGTCTATTCAAGATGTTGCATTGTTCAAATTAGTCGATAATGAGAGATATAATTCAAGAATAATATTATAGCACTATGTTATCCACAACAACACATAAGATTTTTGTATGACGATAAGTCACACAGGGTTGGCATAGGAAAATTCTATCAATTGTTCCCAAATTTTTCATTCCATCAACTGATCCGGCACCCCCACGTCGTATATGGCATTACAGTTCAGGAGATTGGGACGGTCTCCGCATGTTTTTCTCCGAGTTTCCTTGGCATAGAGTATGCTTTGATACTATAAGGACCCTTCACAGTGTGCTGCCGAAATATCCGAGATCATCATGCTCGGAATGTACACATACATACCTCACTCTTCGAAAAGATCATCACCATCGAAACCCTGGTTCAACAAAAACTGTTCTAGAACTCGCTTGAAACAAACAGCCTACCATCGCTGGCGCAAAAACCTTAACCTCGCGACTAGAGCAGAATACGTTGATGCCAGGAATAACTGCAGCCAAACAATAGATGCGTCGTAAGAAACATACAATGCCAAGATAAGATCGAAACTCATAGATTGTCCCAATGGCTCCCGTTCGTTTTGGTCCCTTGCTAAAGCGGTCGGAAGAAATTTCACTAATAGTTCATTTCCACCACTGTCCAAGTCCGACGGCACATTGGCAACAACATCGCAGGAGAAAGCAAATATTTTTGCAGCAAACTCTACTTCAGATTCTCAAGGACAAGTGCCGCCAGACATTCCACCGGTTGAGAGTCGAATGCCCGAAATCGTCTTCCGTCAACGCACTATCAGACGAATTTTGATTGGTCTCAAAACGAATAAGGCTAACGGTCCTGATGGAATTCCATCCATTATCCTCAAAGAATGTGCACCAGAACTAACACCGATTCTCTGCAAGTTGTTTACCGTCTCGTACAGGTCGGGTATTTTTCCATCATGCTGGAAGACAGCTAGAGTCCAACCAGTCCCCAAAAAAGGGAACAAAAACCTGCCCAAGAACAAATTTTTAAAACTACAGGACCATTGCCCTGTTATCAGTAATCTCCAAAGTGATGGAGAAAGCCATCAACATTGAGCTTATCAAATATCTGGAGCTCAGGAATCATCAATGATAAACAATACGGCTTTCGCCACCGAAGATCTACTGGAGATCTACTTGCCTACGTCACCCATTTATGGCAAGCTTCATTAAAAAAAAAAAAACACGGGGAATCTCTAGCTGTCGCGTTGGACATATCGAAAGCATTTGACCGTGTTTGGCAAGAAGGACTCCTCCACAAACTACCATTATAAGGCTTACCACCTCAGCTATGTCATCTCTTATCGAGTTTCCTTTCAGGCAGATCGCTTCATGTTGTGGTGGACGGTGTATCGTCTGATACCATTGGCATCAAACCCGGCGTTCCACGAGGATCAATTTTGGCACCAACATTATTCCTTCTTCATATCAATGATCTGTTGGGAGTAACAACTTGCTCCATCCACAGCTTTGCAGATGATAGTACCCTCCATACTGCGTTCTCTTCCAGAATTCCCATTTCTTCCCAGGAAACTAAGAACTCACGGCGCAGGCAGGTCAATGCTGTCAATGAAGATCTTGCTGAAATCACAGCCTGGGGAACCAACAACCTAGTTGAATTCAACGCCACCAAAACTCAAGCCTGTATTTTCTCTAGAAAGGCGGAACTCAGTATGCCCGACATTGTAATGTCTGGCACCACCATCTCCACCAAGCCCACCATATCTATGCTCGGTATTTCCATCAACAACACTCTTTCATGGGATGATCATGTCAGATCCATCGCAAAAGCTGCTTCACAAAAACTCGGATTCTTGTTCCGTGCGAAAAGCTACTTTAACCTAACAGCTTCTCATGATCTACAAAGCGCAGATACGGCCTGTTCTAGAATACTGTTCCCACATATGGGGTTCAGCACCAAAACATACGCTGATGCTCTTAGATTCCATCCAGAGAAGAGCCATTTGCCTGGTGGGTGACGCCACACTCACTCAGTCTTTGACATCATTGGAACACCGTAGAAAGGTCGGCGACCTTTCACTTTTCTATTGATACTTCCAAGGGAAATGTGCTTCGGAAATCTCTGCTATCATCCCTTCACTGGCAATACCAGTCAGACGAACTAGACAAGCCCAGTCAGCACATCCTTTCGTTGTCAACCTCGAAAGATGTCGAACAGCACTTTATCAAAACTCCTTCATCCATAGAACGGCTAGGCTCTGGAATTCATTGCCTGAGGAAGTATTCCCAACAACATATAATCTCCAGAAGTTCAAAAAAAAATCCAATACCTACCTCCTATCCCTATCCTCCCTAGGAACGCACGATGTTCTTTGAACATTATAGGGATTCCCTTTCGTGCGCTCCAAGCGATGACAAAAAAATTAATGAAACACCCTGTATAATGATTGGACATTAAAATTATTCATTTTATCTTGAATATACTCATGTTTCATTAGTTTCTCATCGAATCTTATGGCAAAAACGAAACAGTTACCTGGCTGCTCAACAACACGAAAATCCACATACTACCCAGCCTGAACCCTGATGGGTTCGAAAGGGCAGGTAACGCATGCGAATCAACTTTGGGAAGAGATGTGGCTTTCGGTGGTGCACAAATCGACTTGAATAGGAATTTTCCGGATTGCTTCAATGCCGATGTGAAACTCGAACAGCAAGTTCAAACGGGCGGTAGAAAATACCCGAATTGTAGGAATGTTTATGGAGTGATGACAGACAGTATGACACGAGAGGCTGCAGCCATTGTCAACTGGATGGAGGATAAAAAGTTCGTTTTGTCTGCAGCCTTACATGGGGGACAGTTAGTTGCGAATTATCCATTCGATTCCATGTATTACAGTAAGTCAATTTCAATAACCAAATTTAATAACCAAATCCCTCAACAAATGCATACATTATCAGTACCTAATTTCAATAGAACATTGAAACACATGTTGTTTGCTGTTGAAATCTCCTTCAACTCATATCAAATAAATAGAAAATTACACGAAGACATACTCGTCAATACTGTTACTGTTTGCTTTCAAAAGTCATCTTACCTCCAAGTCAATATTGGGTCATGTCATTCATTATTTCCTTTGACTCAATATAATAATAATAATAATAATAATAATAATAATAATAATAATAATAATAATAAAAAAACGCTCTCCGCAGCAAGTATCGGCAGCGGCTCCGACAGATCTGGTCGTCAGAACTGTCGGGGAAGAACAAAGTCGCTGCGACTAACATGCTTGCTGTTCCGATCCTACTTTACTCATTTGGAGTGATAAAGTGGACTCAAGTCGAGCTGCGACAACTTGACGTAAGTACTCGCAAGATGATGCATCTCCATAGGAGTCTGCATCCAAATTCGTCCGTTCCACGGTTATACATACCTAGAGACCAGGGTGGCCGTGGACTCTTGAGCTTGGAGTATCTCCATAACAGAATGGTTCTGGATGGCGCCTGCAAAGTCATCAGGAGTTCGGACCCCCTTCTGCAAATGGTTAAAACCCATGAAGAGGCAGGAGTAGGAGCTTTTCTTTTCAGGGCAGCACGTCGAGCAGCCGATGAATTGTCTCTGATTTTCGACTCCGAGCGCGAGGCTCAGGACTCAGTAACTGAGCTAGAGCCTGCTCGGAGGAAGGCCCGCATCAAAGCTGCAGAAGTGAGAAAGCTCCTGCAGCTTCACATGGATAAGCCCATGCATTCGGTCTACTTCAAGACCATTGAAGACCGGGGCTTATCCAAAGAACTGACTTTTGCTTTTCTGAAGTCAGGCGGGCTCAAATCGGAAACAGAGGGGTTCATCATGGCATGCCAGGATGGGGTTTTCAACACTCTCGTCTACCGTAGCCGTGTCATGGGTATGGAGGTCCCTGACACAAATTGCAGGGCCTGCCGCAGGGCGCCCGAGACAATTATGCACCTGCTGTCCTCTTGCACGGTGTATGCAGTCTCGGCCTATATCCATAGACACAATGCGGCATTACGAGTGCTCTACTACCATTTGAGGCACTCGTACGGAATAGACGAGACCCCAGTGCTGCCCTATGCTCCGGGGGATATTGAGTCCGTTGTGGAGAATGAGAGGTGCCGAATTTATTGGAACTTCTCATTCCCCACCCTCAGGCAAATTCAAGCTAACAAGCCTGATGTAGTCCTCCTCGACCATCAAACCAAAGCGATGTTCGTGATCGAGTTTTCGGCGCCAGCCGAACCGAACATCGTTTTGAAGGAGGAGGAGAAACGGACTAAATATCGAGATCTTCTCTTCGAACTCCGCCGGCTCTATCCAGACCATTCTGTGGAATTGGTCATCCTGATTATCGGCTCCCTAGGAGGCACACGACACACGCTGCTCTCGGAGATCCAGAAAATCCCAGCGTGCCGTGATAAGGCACACATCCTGGCTGGTGGAATGCAGAAGGCCGTCATACTAGGATCATTGCGTCTACTCAGGGCACACGGTACTTGGTCCCAGTGATTACTCACCTCACAGGCTGTGAGGAGTAGTCACTGGATTTTATCCAGCACGACTCTGCGTGACGTCGGAGGCCGCAGGGTCGTGACTGGAATTATATGAATTTAAAATAATAATAATAATAATAATAATGTGTCTTTATTTTATGAAAAAACTTGGTAACACAAACTATACAATAGTGCTGGCGCCATTCGGCCTCGGCCGCTCTTCCATGTAACCAGCTAATATTCAACAACTGTCAATATATCTTCATCTCATATTATTTTTTCTATGTTCTGCATGGTTTTGCTATCACATGTGTACTCTCGGTTTTCAGGTTCAGTGTGAGAAAGTACTATCTCATCTCGTTTGAGAAAGCGGTAACTCTACCTTTTGGTAGTGTCAACATTTTTGTATATTTTGGCTACCAATGAAAACATGACTTATTATCATTATTATCATTAGTAAAATCATTATAATCATTTTTGATTTGCAGCTTCTTCTTACCCCAACGTACCTCAACGTATCTCTCTTTTTTGTTTTGGTTCTCGTCACTATCATTCCACAATGTAAACCATTCTCAATGAAAACCATTATTTACAGATTCATCAAATATTAATAAATTGACAAAGCCCATATGGCCATGGGCGAAACGTTTTTCTACCTAATCTTTTGAAATTACTTATGAAACCGAATCCAAACCCCAAGAAGCTGCGATTGCTGCGAATCAAAAACATAACAGGATTCAAGAAAACCACTCAACAAACATTATAATCATTATTATTATTATTATTATTATTGTTATTGATTTACTGCTCAGTATGTTGTATTTCTTCAGATATATCTGCAGTACTGCTTGTCACCCAAATGATATAAGTTTTATCATTGGCTACAAGAGTTGTTACAGCTCATATTGAATTGTTTTCAACAGTATTATGCTGTGATAACATCATCTAAAACAACCTCAGAACATTAAATGCTCACTTTTATGAGAGGTGTCATAGCTTTTCTTGAAGCTTGTCACGAAATCATGTAATGCGTTCTTATACTGTATGTACTTATGTTGAAATAGTACCTATTAATATTTTTTTCTACAAACGTCAAAAAATGTCAAGGTTCGCGCATTGATAACAAATTGCGAAGTGACACTATTTTTCAGTTTCCTACGTTACCATGATTCCTTGCACTAAACAATGCGCAAAGTAAAACAGTGCGCGAAGTATCTACTTCGCGCATTGTTATGTAAAATATATGAGATATTTATATTTCAACTTTATGGTCCTCAATCGAGCAGACATCCACCAAATCATTTATTTCTGAATGTTCAACAATAACTTTGTTTTTTCTCTTGGAGCGCACGAAAGGAAATTCCTATTATGTTCGTGGAACATCGTGCGTACCTAGGGAGGATAGGGGGAGACCTTTCAAGCCAGTTCAACACTATTTTCCATATCAAGTTAATCATATTTTTACTTCAGAACTATATATTTTGACGTTTGTAGAAAACATTTTGTTTGCAACTCGAGCGCGAAATACTTTGGTCATCTCGACTATTTTTTCAACTCGGCTACGCCTCGTTAAAAAAATCAGATCTCGATCACCAAAGTAGCATTTCGCGCTCTAGATACAAAAAAAACTATTTTATATTTTCCAATATACCGGGTGACACAGGAGAAATGTATCAGCCTGTCATTTCTTTATTCGAAGAGATAAACATTTTGAATTGAAGGGTTACATTATCAATAATGGCGCTTTCCTTGAACCCAATGACAATTTTCTTCAACCACCTGTTCGAACGGAAGTAGACCCAACTTTTCTTTTTCAAATGACGCCCTGTATATTTCTGTAGCCTTCCTCATTAGCCTTAAATTCATCTATCTAACTATCTATCACAATTTGATTTTCGTTTATTAATTGGTTGTTGAATTGCATTTCATTGAAATATATGAAGTTAGCTGTGGCCCGAATACAATGACATTTCGATGCTTGATAGGCTTACGAATCCAGAAATCTTCACTTGAACGATATTATTAGAATATTTTCCATACCCTAATCGGTCCCAGAAGATTGCCTATAATTCCATTGAGTTTAAAAAAATCATCCGAGAATAAATCACGATTTGGCTACTTGTTATAGTAGGCGGTTTACACAAAATGTCCAGTTTGACAGTTATTCATTCTCGACATCTTGCTATAAGTATGACATGGTCTATTCATTTCACTGGTACTGGTACTGGTGGGGGACGTGTCCACGTCAGCAACTAGTCCCCAATGGGACCTTTTTGCAAACCCCAAGTGTTTTCAATGACTGATGTGGTTCGCTCAAGAGAGCTGGCTAACATCCTTTTCAGGCACCGCCCATCAGCTCTCTTTTCAGAGTTTTTCAACTGTGTTTTGTAGGCTAGTAATATACTCACTACCATATGCGCAGTGGCAGGCCTGCTAACTATCATCGTTAACCCCCGAGACCGAGGTCTACTTAAGCAGCTGGCCCGCTCTCACGCTCAGCTGGTAGTTTTCCACACCCACCTACATACACCGTCCTACTTCTTCTCTGATGCTCACAACCACATCATCATATCTTTCTGCGTGTTCTGTGTAGGCTTTGTTACTAATTCCATGCGCCACTTTAGGAGCAGCACTGTTAATTGGAACGCAACAGCGAATCGTGCAGGACTATCCCCAGCCGATGCTCCGAAACTTTACAACATTTAATTCGTAAATAAAATATTGAAAAAAGTTCCTTGCCCGTGCTGGAAATCGAACCCACGACCGCAAGGTCGTGAGACGGACGTCTATTCATTTCAAGTAGCCAAATGAAAAAAAAAACAGAGTTTTTACCTTAGTTTTCTCAATATCGTGAGATATTTTCGGATGATTTTTTTTAAACTCTATGAAATTATTGGCACTCTATTCATTTCAAGTAGCCAAATGAAAAAAACAGAGTTTTTACCTTAGTTTTCTCAATATCGTGAAATATTTTCGGATGATTTTTTTAAACTCTATGAAATTATTGGCAATTTTCTGGGACCGATCAGGGTATGGCAAATATTCTAATGTAAAAACTTCACAAACGATAAGATTTCCACAAAATTTAAACAGTGTTTAAATTTTGTGGAAATCTTATCGTTCGTGAAGTTTTTACATTTATCATGGATTTCCATCAAGTAACGGCCGAGTCAATTAAAAAAAAAAAAATTCTAATAATATCGTTTAAGTAATGATCTTTGGATTTCTAAGCCTATCAAACATCGGAATGTCATTGCATGCGGGCCACAGCCAACTTCATGTATTTCAATAAAATGCAATTTAACAGTCAATTAGTAAACGAATATCAAATTGTGATAGTTGAATAGAGAATTTCAAGGCGAATAAGATAGGCAACAGAAATATACAGGGTGAAAAAAAAAAGTTGGGTCTACTATCGATCAAACAGGTAGTTGAAGAAAATTGTCATTGGGTTCAAGGGAAGCGCCATCATCAATAATGTAACACTTGTGAATTCAAAATTTTTATCTCTTCAAATAAAAAAACTACAGGCTGCTACATGTCTCCTGTGTCACCCCCGGTATAGGAACGATGGGAGAAAATTTCATACAATCTTTTAAATGAATCTTCCACCTCCTCTATTAACCTTCAGACAGGATTCAAATCATTAACATTAAATTTACAACTATCTTCCCAAACAATTTAACGCACCACCAAAAAGTAGCCAGGAGTTTAAGAAACATGTTTGTTAGATTTGGACAATTTTTACAATTACATGTTACCCTCATATTCTGAACATTAGTGTGCAACTGTATTCGCATGAAAGCTTTTACATACATACCGTGTGTAGCAATTATAGCGTGTACTTTTCATTAGATTTTCAAAACCTTGCAGGGTCTAACAGTTACATTATCAGATACGATGTTCCTCGCACATTGTAGGAATTTCCTTTCGTGCGCTCCAAGAGATAAGCTGGGTTCGAATAACTTATTATGTGAATAACTTTGATTATTATCTAATGGATGTTTCCTGATGAATTGAATGAATTATTCCTTTGGTATACTAGGTGTGACAATATGATGCGAATACAGTTGAACGCCAATGTTCAGAAGGATATAATGTATTGTCATTTAAAAAAAGTAGTTTCGACGAAAATGTTTGTATAAACTTTTGGATATTTTTTTTGGTGTGTTAAATTTTTTTAGGAAGTGTATATAAAGCATTCCTACGAAGGCGCTGAAGGGCCACCTATACTTTTTTTTTTGAATCCCGACTTTAAAGGATCAGTCAAAATCCTCCTTTTTGGATGTACACTGAATGTCAAATAATGGATCACACCTGTACGATCATTATCGTACGTATATAGGGTGATTGTTTATATTCCACTTAATAGCTAAGAATCTCATTTGTTTGTTCAAAGGGTGCAAAAAGATTACAATACAAAACATATATTTTCACAAATGAACTACCCTGAATGTCATTCCGTCCTTGGGTAGAGCTCAGAAAGATGAGTTCAATGATATATGATTACATTTGTAGGTATGAGATCACCCCTTCCGGACTATTTTCATAATCTTCTTCAATCAATAGCCAAATTTCAAAGCCTTATGAAAACGTTGAGAATCAAGTTTTCAATGCGCAGTTTTCATTATGAATTAACTAATTATATAATATGTTATATTGATATTTTGTCAATATTAAGGATATTCGAATTAAACAAAAGTGATGACGTATTTTGCAAACCGATCATTTTCTCGGATTTTGCGAATGTATTCAATTTCATTCTTGGATAGAGCTAAGAAAGACGAATTCAATGATATCTGGGCGTCAATTGAAACGTTGATAGTAAAATTTGGCATCAAGTTTGACTTCTCGTAATTTCTAAAATATTGAACAAATTTTGAATTGCCGCCCAGATTCTGAATGCCTCTTTCATCGTCTTTCTAATCATTCCTTACAGCTTCTTCTGAATTGATCAGGACCCGTGATACAGGGTGAAACAAAGTTTCGTGCATTTTGAAAAGAATTTCTCCGCCGCCCCATTTTGTCGGAAGACCACGATGCTCATATTTTATTCAGGCATTTCATGAATAGCAATCATACCTAGAGACGTTTTCGAGTTTTTGCCAAAAACTACTGTGGTTTCCGAAAAAAAAATTTTTCGCATTTTTTTAAATGGACTGATTACCTGTATCCTCAAAACGATGAATCAGTCTATTTATTGTCATGACTGATGACTTATTGAAAATGGTACTTAAATGAGTTTGGGTATATCCTAATCGTCGTAACCTGAAATAATAATTATCTGTACTGAATTATAGTTTATATCACTATAGTGATCTTACCTAATGATATTTTCCATTTCGACCCGATTTGAACGAAACATCTTTGAATTTTTTAGGACCCGAATTACACTGACGTTTTCATGAAAATTGGCAAATTGATATAACCTCTATGCATAGCTACATTGTTTCAACAATACGTTGTTATAGAAACAAGGTATCGTTCGTTGTTTGTTCTTGTTGATGAGATGTGTCGATTTACTGCTCACTAAGGTAGAAAACTTTTATCATAGACTGCGAAGTAATAAATTATTGATTGTTTTTGAGTAACCTGGTATACACATCTGCTCCAACGCTTTTCTGAAATGCATAAAAGCACCCATTTATGGAACTTCTCTAAAATTAGTCCATTTAAAAAAAAACACAAAAAAAAATTTTTATTTTGAAACTACAGTAGTTTTTGGCAAAAACTCGAAAATGTCCCGAGGTATGGTTGCTATTTATGAAATGCCCGAATAAAATATGAGCACCTTGGTCTTCCGACAAAATGGGGGGGCGGAGAATTTTTTTTCAAAATGCACGAAACTTTGTTTCACCCTGTATCACGAGTCCTGAACAATTCAGAAGAAGCTGTAAGGAACGGTTTGAAAGACGATGAAAAAGGCATTCAGAAACTGGGCGGCAATTCAAAATTCGTTCAATATTTTAGAAATTACGAGAAGTCAAAGTTGATGTCAAATTTCACTATTAACATTTCAATTGACGCCCAGTTTATGATAGAATGGGTCTGAGAGCACCCGTTTCGGACTTATCCATGAAGTCCGATATTGAAGTCGGACCCCCGACTTCAATCTCGGACCCCCGACTTTAAAGTCGGACCCCTGACTTTAATCTCGGACACCCGACTTTAAGGTCGGACCCCCGACTTTAATCTCGGACCCCCGACTTTAATCTCGGACCCCCGACTTTAAAGTCGGACCCCCGACTTCAATCTCGGACCCCCGACTATAAAGTCGGACCCCCGCCTTTAATCTCGGACCCCCGACTTCAATCTCGGACCCCCGACTTTAATCTCGGACCCCCGACTTTAAAGTCGGACCCCCGACTTTAATCTCGGACCCCCTACTTTAATCTCGGACCCCCGACTTTAAAGTCGGGATTCAAAAAAAAGTATAGGTGGCCCTTCAGCGCCTTCGTACTTTCCTAATCAGTCATAGATATGAAATAGTTCTGTGAGTGAACATTGTGTTTCTTTGCTAGGAAATGAAAGAACTAATGAATCTCTCACGCCGGACGACGATGTTTTCAAACATTTAGCGAGAACCTACTCAAACAACCACCCACTCATGCATTTAGGCAGAAAATGTAAAGATAGCAGCATATCTTTCAAAGGTGGCATCACGAATGGAGCAAAATGGTATTCATTCAACGGTAGGTATATTTGAATGATATACGAATATTTAGCGAATTGTCTATGAAGATAATAATTATATAAGGTGAAAGTCCTGTAACTTTGTCGGATAATATTTCCATATTCTAATTTCAGTCTGTGAGTTCGACTTTGATCAATTTGTTTCTTATTTTCATGTAAAGGTACATTCAGTACATCAGTATCATTCCCAGACAGCACAGAATGTATCATGAATTTTCTCACAACGTTCACAACATACCTCCAATAGAATATTTCATTGAATATTACCTTGAAATTCGGCAGGTGTTCATAATTTTGGTGACAAAACATTATGGAAATTTTGTTGAAACTAAAAAATATGGCTGCTCCAAGATGGCGGACAAGATTTGGTCCGATTCTATTCAAAATTGGTAAATGGGGGTTTTTGAGGTCGGAGATCATGATTTTCTTGTTGAAATTTATAAATTCAAGATGGCGGCTTCCAAATAAGTTTTTGTTTTTGTATAAATGACGATAACTCCGTTGTTATCAACACAAAACTATTACTGCGACATATCATCTGTGAGAGAAAAAAAAGTTATTTGTAACTAAGTCATAGTGAGCTATGACCTACATTTGAAAAACTAAAGTTGGTGCTGATATCTCAAATTCTAGAAGAGTTGGTATAAATTTCATATTTTTTTCGAAATCACTTTGAAAAACTGTCATGAGAATGTGAAATTCCTATCCGAATATTTCCATAAATAAAAAAATTACGGAGGAGATATGAAAATGATCATGATCTGTTTTTTGCGTATAAAACAAAAATAATAGATTTTATCAAAATATTTCTTCACATTATAGTTGGCCTTGACAAACTCCACATTTGGTGTCATTTAACCGACCTCGTATCTCTCACCGTTAAAAAGATACCCATGGTGAGCATGGTAAGTGGGACACACTGTATATCCAACTTTCCCAACCTGAAGGGTTAGTTACGTGTGGACAGGGTCGATATCTGAATAAATAATGTATGTTTGAACTGTGAGTTACAGTGTTTGGGTGATGTATTCAAAAGTGTGTGAAAATATATCATTATATCAACCAAATGAATTCTTGGTACATACAGTTATGAACATATTTTTGGGAATATTACTAGATCATTCCGAGGATGTTCTATATGTCTATAGAATGTCCTGGGAATGCCCTGAGAAATATTCTGAGAATGTTCTTGGAACGTGAATTTTCGTCCCATTTGCATCATGTTCTTAGAATATCCTGTGAACGTTCAGTGCACCTTGGTAGAACACACTGAGGATTTTCGAAATGTTCCACGGAAATATTCTAAGAACATTCTCAGAAAAAATCTTCGTGCTGTTTGGGTTCATTGCCAAGCATCAATTATTGATTCTTATGATTTTATTACATTTTTATCGTGAATCCTATACGAGCAATGTCAGAAAATAAATACGTATAATATACGATGAATGCCTTAGGTTCAATGGGGGACTATAACTATATGCTTTCCGGGAATATTCTAAGAACGTTCTAAGAATCACTTCACTTCATTGCTAAGCATCAATTATTGATTCTTATAATTTGGGTACATCTTTATCGTGAAACCTATACATGCGAACATCTTACAAAATGAATAATTCTGTCTTTGACGTACATGCTCCTGTTAAAACAGTTAGAATAAGTAAGCCAAGAGCCCCCTGGCTAACAGATACACTGAAATTGATGATAAAAAACAAAAATTTATCTCTGTCCAAATACAAAAGATCAGGAAATATTGAAGATTCCAAATCCTACAAGAATATTCGAAACATGGTGACCGCCGCTATAAGAACCGAAAAAAAGAATTATCTCATCTTCACTCAAAATCAACATAATAGCAAAAAACTATGGAACAGGCTGAATTTATTAGAAATAGTTACGAAAACAAAAACAAGAAAATTGATATTCCGGAAAAACTCAGTGACCCTAACATAATAATTAATAACCACTTCATCGCGTCAGTAAAAGATATAGCAATACTGATTCTCCTAACGAAATACTGAACCATTATAATTATTCTGTCTCTTTCCAAATCAACTCGAGTTCTGCCAAATATCTAACGAGGACCTGGAGCGTATTATTGGTTCAATTAAAAGTAACACTACATGTACGGACCAAATTTCTATTGAAATGTTGAAAATATGTATACCATTCCTAACTCCCATTCTGACTTACATTGTCAATACATGTTTGACACATGGAGTCTTACCGGAAATATAGAAAAAAGCCTTGATATTTCCCACTAATGAAATCTCCAATTCCTCAACATCAAACGATCTACGTCTGATTAACATTTTACCAGCACTATCGGAGGTAGTCGAAAAAGAGGCTCATGAACAAATATATGTATAGATATGTAAAAGATAATGAAATATTACCAGCTCACCAGTCAGGTTTCAGACCTGATCATATAGTACCACTACTGATGATAAAATGGAGTAACCGTTTTTCTTCCACTTGACTATAGTAAAGCTTTCGACACCATGTATCAGCGCCTCTTAAAATCCAAGCTGCACCATTATGGGTTTTCAGAAAATGCTAACAAGTTCACCAATTCATTTTTATCGAATAGGAGCCAGTGTGTGCAGGTTAAATAAATGAAAAGTAAAAAAAAAACTTTGTAATTAAAAGCTTCTATTCAAATTTAAACGGTCTAAAAAGAAGAAAATGAAATGTTTCTTGATAATTTTAACTATCAGCTTATAACCTCATTATACACAATTAACATAACCATAAAAGCTTGTCGCGCGATTCAGTTATGTGAATGAACTAGTTCTTATTTAATTATATAAAATCTGCTGAGATAAAAATTTTAAAATTACAATTCAATTGAATATTGATCATCGTGACAAGCTTTTATGATCATATAATTTGTGTATAATGAGGTTATGAGTTGATAGTTGAAATTATTTAGAAAAAAAAGTATTCTCTTCTTTTTAGAGCGTTAAAATTAAAATAAAAGCTTTTTATTAAAAAGTTTTTTTTTACTTTTAATTTATTTTTTAATATTCTAGTTATCGCTAGCAGGATTTTTCGATTAACTCTCAACGATCATTTGATACCCACAAGTATATCAAAAATAGCTATTCCGCCATCTTGGATAGTCCGCCATATTGGATTTAAAATAACGTGACACACCTTTTCGTGCATTGTCATCCAAACTGAACGTGTAGGTATACAAAATTTCAGCTCAACCGGTTGAAGATTTCTACTTCAAAATTGAGTTCAAATATTCCACCCGAACATACATACATACAAACATACAATGCAAGTTAAATAAAAGCTTTTTGAATAAAATAGTTTGTCACGTTACGTAAACGTATCACATGGTGCCCCGCAAGAATCTGTATTATCTCCACTAGTTTTCATTCTGTATAGATACTGCTGATTTTCATCGAGACTTAGATTATTTCCAAATACACACATATATGCTGATGATACAAACCTCTACTACTCGGCCAGAATTGAGGTTGTTCTAAGTCGTGAAAATTTGCTCAATGAAGACATAAAACAGTTGATATTGATGTCAAAAAAACACTGTCTCGATATTAACCCCACGAGATCTTCCCTAATCGTATTTGCTAGCGAAAGAATTAGACAATCGGTTATAGATAGCGTTTTGGTTGAAGGACAAAGAATCCAGTACTGTGAGAAGATTAAATGTCTCGGCTTAGTCATTGATAATAACTTGAAATTTCATAATCATGTAAGCAAACCTCATCAGGAATATTGTAAAATCAAGGGTGTCTATTCCAATAACAGACAATTTTTGGGAAGAAATTTGAGAACTACTCTGTGATTCATTGATTCTATCAATTTTTAATTATTGTGACATCCTCTATGGCCCATATCTCGACGGAGTATTACAGTCAGTAAGAATTCAAAAAGTTCAGAATGCATGCGTGAGGTTCATTTTTGGGTTGAGGTTCAGGGACCACGTCACACCTTTTATTAATGAACTAGATAAGTTGAAAATGCACAATGGATGAGAACTTCATCATGCCTGTTTTTTACATAACCTCTTCAGAAAAAAAATACCAACTTACCTCATTGAAAACCTTCAACATACACAAAAGAAGCACATACCAGAAACCTCCGATATACTGATAATTTGTCAATCCTTCAGCACCGGATCGTTTTCTTTGAACGATCTTTCTCCTACCATTCCGTCGTCCTGTACAATTCTATTTGTCAAACAAAACGAATTTCATACGTAAACTGAAGGAACATTTTCTGGATGAACAGCGATAGACTCATCAATTCCCTACTTTTCTGCTTCGTTTTTGTATTACAGATTTTTCTTTATTATTACTATTATTATCATTATGGTTATTATCATTATGATCATTTTAGTCATGATTACTATCAATATTACTGTTGACTCTACATTTATATGATTATTATTATTTCATCATTGTAAACCAACATGACATTGTAATGCTAAAACATGCTTAGTTGAGTGGAAGAATAGCTATGAGCTTAACTCCGCCAAGAAAAATAAAGTCCATTTAATGTTATTATTATTATAAATACGTATGAAAATATGATGAATGCCTTAGGTGGAATGGGGGACTATAACTATGCTCTCGGAGATCTATGCTCTCGGGAAATATTCTAAGAACGTTCTCAGAATCACTTCGTGCTGTATTTGTTCATTGCCAAGCATGAATCATAGATTAACGATGCATGAATTGATGATTCTCATAATTTTAGTACATTTTTATCGTGAAACCTATACATGCAGAAATCTTACAAAATAAATACGTATAAAAATACGATGATTGCCTTAGGTGGAATGGGGGACTATAACTATGCTTTCCAAGGTTGCATGGAGTTGACAGTGGAGATTTCTTGTTGCAAGTACCCTACGACTGAGCTCGATGTTTTGTGGTTACAGAATAAAGAGGTAGGTATAAAATTATTATTTAAAAAAAAAGTAATCACCCTTATACTGAAATGACAATCATTTAACTATCAAATTGATAGCAAATCATATTGATAAGAGTATTATTTCATTCTTATAATATCACTATTTAATATTGAAATGTTGATCATCTAAATTACAAATTGAGAACAAGTAATATTGATCTGGCCATTTCCTCATTTTCATAATATCATCGTATACCATTGAAATGTTAATCATTTATCTCCTATATGAGCGTCATTTCATGCTCGTATTCGTTCTGTTTCACAGTTTTATTATTCTTTTGGAATGATGAAACTTGATGACAGTGAAAAAGAAACTATATGCTGGCGGTTATTCAATACTGAAATCTCCAAATGGTTATACAATTTCGTATAACAGCTAATATATATTTCTCCCGGTGCATCTTCACAGATTATAGTACTCTCCATACTTTGCCATCTTCTAGAATCTCCATATCTTCTCAGGAAACAAAGAATGAAGATCTTGCTGAGATTACAGCCTGGGGAACCAACAACCTAGTAGAATTCAACGCTACCAAAACTCATGCCTGTATTTTCTCGGGAATTCAGTATGCCTGATTTTTCATATGTCTGGTACCATCATTCCGTCCAAATTCCAGTATATATATACTCAGTATTTCCTTCAGCATCAATAATGTCTCATGGGAAAATCATGACAGATCCATAACCAAAGCTGCATCACAAAAATTTGTATTCCTATTCCTTGCGAAAAGCTATAAGTACTTCACACCCCAATTGCTTTTCATGATCTACAAAGCAAAGATATGATCTGTTTTAGATTCACCTCCTCACATATGGGGTTCAGCACTCAAACATACGCTGATGCTCTAATATTTCATCCAGAGACGAGCCGCATTCGCCAGACAACTGATTAAAAATCGGCGACCTTTCCCTTCTCTATAGATGCTCCCACGGGAAATGTTCTTAAGAAATCTCTGCTATATATCATTCCATCACTAGCGGGACCAGTCAGGCGTACTCGACAGGTTCAGTCAGCACATCCTTTTGACATTAACTTCAAATTATGTCGAACAACTCTTTTCCCAAAACTCGTTTGTCTACAGAACGGCAAAGCTTCAGAATTTCCTTACAAGCGCTTCAACAGATATATAATATAACTCCAGGATATTCAGACTTATAACAGGAATATATAGTTTTTTGGCAAACTGCCGATTTTCATATCTTGTATAAAAAAAATGGAATTTGATTTCTATGATGAATATGTTTCATTAAAATTCAGGGACTACTTTGATCCATGGCTCCTGAATCCATTCGTGAAGTCAGTATCTCACAAAAAGCACTAATTGTATCCAGCGTTTTTTTACATGTGATAAAAATACTCGCGAAGTTATATTTTGTTTTTCGCAAATGGTATATGTGATAGTTTAGACTTTTTGATGCTCTTTTGGGATTGGTTGGATTTCATATCACCTATACCTGATTAACTTTTCAGTCTTTGTTGCACTTCTGTATGCAAGCTAATAGAGGAGTAACCGGCCAAATTTTGGATCTGCACACCGGGAAACCTATCGAAGACGCTATCCTTAACATCGTCGGCAGAAAGATGAAATTCCAGACTTCCAAAAAGACCGCTGAATTCTGGAGGATTCTACTTCCAGGAACTTACGAACTCCAGGTAAGGTCCAACTGAGATACTGGTCACGAGTTGAAGATTCGGTATATTAATAATATCGAGCAATAAACATTTAGATCATCCGTTGACATTGAACTTAGTGTGAATACTGACCAACTCTCATGAGAAACGTGCAATCCAGCAATCCTAATGAACTTTTGTTTATAAAAAATGGATGTGAAAGTTTCAAAGTTAGTCTGGTCTGTACTGGGGCAACCCCTCTATACCTTTGACTTGAAAATAACTTGTCCCTATTGTCATTATAGTGTGTATATGTTATTATGAGATGTTCATATCCATTGTTATTCGTCAATATCTCAATACTAGCAATAATGTTCAATGCTACAATAAATATCGTTATGTTTGAATGTAGTCTCGTACTATCAGCTACCCCTTGATTATAAATTTGGCGACCTTCTGAAGATGCTTATTACCATAGGAAATGTTCTTCAGAAATCATTCCATGACTGGTAATACCAGTCAGACGAACTCGACGAGCTAGTCAGCACATCCTTCCGTCGTCAACCTCGAGAAATTCTGATCAACTCGCTATCAGAACTAATTTGTAATAAAATGGCCAAATTTTGGAATTCTTTTCCGAAGGAAGTATACCCAGAAGTTCCAAAAAAAAAATACATTACCTATACCTTCTTTTTCCTATCCTGTGCCTGGGTACACTCCCTGGTTTTAGAATATGATAGGGATCACCGTTCTTGCACACCGAAATATAAAGAACAAACATTGAGCTTTTTGGCTATTTTGTAGTTCGAAAATATATGACAGATACACAGATAAATGAATTAATTAACTATAATAATTGAAGTCTCGCTAACTCATTTCTATCGATGCTGAAGCTTTTCGGGAATTGATATAGGTGGACCTAAGGAAAAGGTCATCTGTACCTCGGTACATATGTTGGTACATATACAGGATTTTATGTATGTGGCCAAAATTCACGGGGTGATTATTTTGTGATTTTAAGATGAGAAGTTCATATAAACATAGGCCCGGAAATGCATATAGTTTTCATTATACATCAGAATTTTAAACTTTGGCCAAATCAGCACTCCATGAATACTGATGGCACTGCAAAATTTCAACAGTATTGGGTGGAAGATTTTTGGGATGATAATGAAAAGCCGATTTTCTAAAAAACGTTTGATGAATCACCATAATAATCGTCCTTTGAACTTTGGCCACATACTACAATAGCATCCTGTACACTGAAAATGTTCACAATCTTTCTTATTGCCTTGCATATAGAATAGAATAGAATAGAAGTTCATTCACATAGTGATATATAGAAAAAATGTGCACCATATTTATAATATACAGGGTGTCCGCTAAAAGGAGGTCAATCCATTAACCATATATTCCTTGAACAAAAATAATATGAGTTTCTAAATACCATTTTTCATTTTAGCCCTTCTTATTCGATATACAGGGTGTCAAAGTTGAAAATTAAAAACTGTTTTTTTCTAATTACTCGCGTAATTAATAAGATATTAATCTCAAAATAGGTACATTACTTCAGCACAAAGAGTTAAATCGTGTGGGGAAAACAAAACAGAAAATAACTGTCAAATATTCAAAATACTGGGGGTCAAGTACACACTTACCCCCATATTTTTTTTGTACGTGCGCTAATGACTTCCTATCTATTTTTCTTCATGTGTTCAATCATTTCTGAGTATTTTTTGATTTTTGTAAAATTCCGATAAAATTATTTGTTTTTAAGATAATTCGAAAAGTACTGGTTATTGTTTGATGCCTTGCGGCTTACGGTAATCTCATAATGTTCACATACTCCTATTTATTTCGTCGAAATTGGAAGAGGGCGTATCTTATTACGTACGGAAAGGTGAATATGGAAATACCGGGTGCTCAGAGCGAATGTATTAAAATAATTTTTACACTTTTTAATTTTTTTTTTTTTTTGGAAAAATTATTTGCTCCGAGCACCCGGTATTTCCATATTCACCTTTTCGTACATAAAAAGATACGCCCTCTTTCAATTTCGACGAAATAAATAGGAGTATGTGAACATTATGAGATTACCTAAGCCGCATAGGCATCAAACAATAACCAGTACTTTTCGAATTATCTTAAAAACAAATGATTCAATCGAAATTTTACAGGAAACAAAAAATACTCAAAAACGATTGAACACTTGAAGGAAAACAGATAGGAAGTCATTAGCGCACGTACAAACAAAATATGGGGGTGAGTGTGAACTTGACCCCCAGTATCTTGAATATTTGACAGTTATTTTCTGTTTTGTTTTTCTCACACGATGTAACTCTTTGTGCTGAAGTAATGTACCAATTTTGAGATTGATATCTTATCAAATACGCGAGTAATTAGAAGAGAACAGTTTTTAATTTCCAACTTTGACACCCTGTATACCGAATATGGAGGGCTAAAATGAAAAATGATATTTAGAAACTCATATTGTTTTTTGTTCAAGGAATATGTGGTTAATGGATTGACCTCCTTTTAGCGGACACCCTGTATACATATTTATATAACGCTGTGAATGATTGTTCTCTGAATTAAATTTTTTCTGATTTTTCAGATAAGAGCAGAAGGGTACTATCCAGAGAAAATAAAGTTCAACGTTTCGTCAAACGGTTCGGGCTATCACCAGCTCACTTTTCTGAAAATTCATCTCGTGAATTTATCTATTTCTACCACGAGTACTACTACTGAGAGTGAATTCCGAGAACAAATAATGCCTAGATTAATTTCACGTGCAAGATTTTCGGAAAATGATGATGAGCCCATCATCCCATTGGAGTCGAGAAGTTCATCTTATACTATTAACGGCCAGCAAAATAATAATGTGGGCCTAGTTTGTCTGATGATCATCAGTATTATAATAGTTATTTAACCAACTAGTGTATTAATGAGGACGATTAATGATCGAGATATTTTAACGTGCGAGCGAAGCGAGCGCGTTGATGTTCGAGATCATTAATCGCCTTTTAATATACAAGTTGGTTACAAAATTTTTCCGTCGACTATATTTCTCATTTCTCCTGCAATGAAGAAAACTTGGTTCGCGAATTCATCATTCATCCGGAAACTGCTAAGAATCACCCAGTAGCCTTGTTACTGACATTAATAGTGACATTTGACATTTGTCGAAATGATCAACATAGAAAATAAATTCCTTGTGTCAGAAAACAAGGATCAAAATCAAGTCAGATACTTGGAGAGGCGAACCTGTTATCGGAAAATCTTCGATGAAATCCATATTTTCGATTTAAATGCAGATTCCGTAAGTTATAGCAATTATAGCATGAACAATGAATGCACGCGGTGTATGTTTGGTTGCCTATAAAACAATCGTGTATTAATAGACAAATCGTTCATTAATAGGGGTCATTAATGAACGATTTCATATACATTGAACTTAGTCGTTAATACGAGGTCGACGGAAAATATAGTTTTTCCAATTTTGCCTTCAGAGCGCAATATTTCTACATTGTTTTCCTGAAAAATTGGATTGGAAATAGTAGTTTACCTAACAAGTGCGGAAAAGTCACTTTACGCACGTGTTAGGTACACTATTTTTTTTACTAGCGTGCGAAAAAAAAGTGTTAACATGAAGGAACATTTATTATTAAATACATAGTTCCCAAATTAACTAGTATTAATATTAATATTAACCGTGCAATTTGTTGTATTCTGCAAATTGATTGCAGAAGCTGAAGTTTTTTCCGGTTTTTTCTAATGAAGTATTATTACGGTTTCCATTGCTTTGTCAGCAACCTTGGTCATCGGAACTTGGCTGGAAGAGGTCATTTATGTCATTATGTTAATTACAATCATACAAATATAAATCTTGAGTATTCAAATTTCAGTATATTCCTTTAAAACTTGACGAATTTACTTTTCCGCACTGAGTGCGGAAAAGTGAACTTTTCCGCAAGCTAGTAGAAAATAGAATTATTTGTGTAAAATTCGGCGCACCCTGTCCCTGTATATCGACAATATTTCTTATCGAGCATGAAAGAGGCATTCGATATTATTATATATTTTCCCCATACTATTAATAAAGCTAATTATTTACTCAAGAATAGATATCCCTGAAATTGATGATATCAATGAAATGCAATATGTAAGCGTTATTACAAGCGCTTGTCGCTTACACATATTTAATTATTGTGATTTTGGTTGTCATACACATGGCGACTTGTCAACTTTGACGAGTCTTTTACATTAAAAATAAGAAAATAATGTTTTTCTACAAACGTCGAAAAATGACAAGGTTCGCGGATTAATGACAAATTGCGAAGTGACACTTTTTATCAGTTTCCTACGTTACCATGATACCTTGCATTATATATGACTCCAAACTGATTTTTGATTTACATGTGGAATCAATTGCAAATTCAGCCTCACGTATGTTGGGTTATGTATTAAGAACTTGTAAATATTTTTCAAACACCAAAGCCTTAATATGTGTATATTACGCATTTGTATTTAGTAAAATAAATTTTGCCTGTGTAGTTTGGTGCCCACAATATAAAACATACATAAACCGCCTGGAAAACATTCAGAACAAGTTCATTAGATATCTTAGCTTCAAAGATAATTACAATTACAACGGCAATATAAATAACGCCAGAAAACATTTCAAACTGATATCCCTGTCAAACAGAAGAGAGATCATGGATATATTATTCTTACATAAAATCACCAACAGCATCATAGACAACCCCAATCTATTGAATCAAACTTCTAATGAATGTTCCCAGTCGGCTTCTAAGAACGAACAATTTATTCCACATACCTTTTAGGCGTACAAACTCGTCGCAGAATTCTCCATTATGTAGAATTGCTCGAAACTCAAATATTTACAATGATCAATTTGATATTTTTTCTTCATCCCAACAAAAAATTAAACATACTCTTAAACATTTTTTCTTACAATGAAGACTACACTTCATCTTTCTTCGAAGTGAGCACGTTTCAAATTATTGTTCCAAAAAATTGTATTCTATTAGGTATAAGGTATAATAACTAGATATATAATAATTTTAATGTTTCGCATTTTATGTTCACATGATATTATTTTCATAAATTTGTATTAACAAAGGCTCAAAACAAAAATGTGTCTATAGTATATATATGTTACATAACCATTGTAATCTTCTCGTAGATACTTTAGTGGACTACTTGTCTGTTTGTATCTTGATGACAATGAAATAAATAAATAAAACAATGCGCGAAGTAAACCAGTGCGCGAAGTACCTACTTCGCGTATTGTTATGTAAAATATATGAGATATTTATATTTCAACTTTATGGTCGCTCGATTGAGGAACATCCACGAAATCATTTGTTTCTGGACGTTCAACAATAACTTTGTTTTATCTCTTGGAGCGCACGAAAGGAAATTCCTAATATGTTCGTGGAACATTGTGCGTACCTAGGGAGGATAGGGGGAGGCCTTCTAAGCCAGTTCAACACTATTTTTCATATCAAGCTAAGCATATTTTCACTTTAGAACTATATTTTTTGACGTTTGTAGAAAAAATGTTGTTTGCACTCGAGCGCGAAATACTTTGGTCAAGTCGACTATTTTTGAACTCGGCTACTCCTCGTTCAAAAAATCAGATCTCGTTCACCAAAGTAGCATTTCACGCTCTAGATAGAAAAATAACTATTTTCTGCAACTTACACAAAAGTTGTCCGTTTTACTACAAAAATCAGCTCTTGAATTGACGTTTCTATTAGATAGATAGATGGATAGTTTATTGATCATAAAATACCAATTACAAACTGGATAGACAAGTCAAGGAAATGCGAAATTTGATTTATATACATATATAGGTACAATTCAAAAAAACTTGAAATTTATACACATTAAAATTCCGGTATATCCTGAGAGAACATATACACACATGACTAAAAAAATTAATATAATATTGAAATGAAATAATTGTTTCAATATACATTATAATCATGAGAATGCACCTTGACAGTATAAAACATATTCTTGTGTATTATAAAAAACATTAGCAATGAGAAACAGTTTCAGTTTACGTTCAAACTGAAACAAGTTCGCTTGATTTTTCAGTTCAGGAGGTAGAGAATTGATAAAATATGTACCAGCCTTGTTCGATGCCTTGATGATGAGTGGACTGTATATAATTGTGATTGTTGGAGAATAACTGATGAAATGAAAATTGAAGAGAAGAGATTGCAACTTCTCCTGAACTTTATTGATTAATTCTTCTTTTTCAACAACACGTCGTCATGTTAACAACTCAAATGTTATTTTATATAGGGTAATACAGTTACCCAACTAATTATATAGGGTGAAAGTATATATGGGGTGAGAGTACTAAACAAGCCTATTTTGGAGACTTTTTACAGCTAGCAAAGGACATAGGCTCGAGTCTAAATTCGTTTTTGCGTCGTGTATGGTAGTCGTGATAATCACGATTTATCTTGAGAATGTTTTTATTTTTATGACACAAACATAGGTATGTTGCTATAGAGAACACTATTATTAGTAAATAGAAGCTAAAGTTGAACTTCAGCTCCTAGGGACTAAAAACGATGTAATAGGTCATCAAGAATAAACAACAGTGTTATGATTGGTTATTTGGGTTGGGACGCATGCCTGATTTTTTCTCCGATTTCGGCAGATTTGACATTTCATGCTGGAGATATAAATACACCATATTATGGTTGAGTATTTTTGTTTTGATAAGGAAAGCATCCAAGATTCACATACTTGCTTGATCTGTATTTCATTTGTCATTTGTGTTCATTTCTTGGGATCTGATTGATTAGATAACTTATTTTTGAATAATCACGGCCAGCAATACTTTCTTGTCTCACACAACAAAATTGTACACCTCCATTTGATTACCGAGTCGAACACAGTGGAATATGGAAAGCAATAAATAATCGCTATTATTATTGCTGTTTTCTATACCTGGCACTGACGCGGTATTTGCTATCAGGGCAGTCACCTGGTCCAAATGAATTCATCGAATCATCGATTCATCGAACCACGAATGGGTCACTCTGTGGTTGTATTTATATGGAAACTACAACTCGAACATCCTTGAAAATCGAATCTGATCTGTAAATGCAGGTAGAATATTCTCACCAAACGGATTATTTGTTGCATTGCATACATATATAGTTGTATCTGATGATGCATGTCAACACAAATTGTAACAAATTAAAGCCATCGTCTCACTCAAGTGAACTCGTCTACCAACAAGGTCCACATGCTCTGTCCTGGTTACGAACTCTCCATTCTCGATTCAGGTTCAAAGGTGGAGTCTGCCTCTATACGCTAAGGATAACTTTTCATACCAGCGTGTAGAGAGTTTGGAACCGAAATTCTTTGATGTGATGTGATTCAAGCTAGTCGATACCAAACTGACCAAATTAATCTGCTGCCTTCACCTATCACCTAATGATGATGGATATAACAACCTCTTCGAGTTTTTATCAGTCAAACTGAACTTCATTCTGGAGGACCATCCAACAGCTGAAATCATAATCATGGGAGACTTCAATGTACACAACGCAGCCTGGCTCAAATTCATTAACAAAACAGATTATGCTGGTCGTCAAAATGAGGCATTCGCCATATCACTCAGGTTCTAGAACAACTAATCGAACTACGAACCCGCATTCCAGATGTCAACAACCAGTCTGCCAATACACTAGATCTTTTTCTCTCACCAGCGATCCTGATCCATATAGAATAGAAGTTTGTGCCCCACTCGGGAACTCTGACCACACCCTCATCTCCAAAACCTGCTCTTTACCTGCTCTGTACCATTCAGCACCACAATTCCTACCAATCTCATGTGGCATTACAATTCGGCCGACTGGAGAGGTCTTCGTATGTTTTTTCAGCGTTTCCATGGAATATAGTTTGTTTCTCTTCAGCGGATCCAACACGATGTGCTGAGACAATTTCTGAAATCATCATGTTGGGGATGCAAACCTACATACCGAACACTGCAAGGAGAACATCTTCCGATAAGGCCTGGTTCAGTAGAAACTGCTCTGTAGCTGTTGCTTCCACACGGGCAGCATTCCATCGATGGCAAGAAAATCCGGGACCTGAGACTAGAGCAGAATATGTCGAGGCTAGAGGCATATGCAATGAGACAATTCGTTCATCAAAGAATGCTCATAATGCCAAAATAAGATCCAAACTTGATGAATGTCCTAACGGATCCCGTTCATTTTGGTCCGTCGCCAAAGCTGTAGAAAGGAACTTCACTTCCAGCTCGTTTCCTCCTCTTACCAAGGAAGATGGAACACTAGCCACAACTTCCCAGGAGAAAGCCAACATTTTTGCGCATTCAATTGCTGAAAACTCCACTCTGGATTCACCGGGAAAACAACCTCCAAACATAACGCCAATTGACAACATATGCCCGAGATCACCTTTCGCCAACGTACTATAAGGAAGATATTGGGTCTCAACACCAACAAAGCTCATGGGTCCGAAGAAATCCCACCGATTGTTCTCAAGAAATGTGCTCCCGAACTAACACCTGTTCTCTGCAAGTTGTTCAACTACTCTTAGAAATTGGGGATATTTCCGTCCAACTTGAAAATTGCAAGACTACAGCCAGTTCCTGAAAAATACAAAAATACCCTACCTAGCAACTACAGACCGATCGCATTGCTATCTATCATTTCAAAGATCATGGAGAAAGCTATCAACATCGAGCTCATTAAATACCTGGAACATTCAGGTATTATCAACGATAGGCAATATGGCTTCCGTCATCAGAGATCAACTGGTGTCCTGCTCGCTCACGGCTCACATATATGACAGCAATCTATTGAAAAATATGGTGAAACGTTAGCCGTGGCACTTGATATCTCCAAGGCATTCGATCGAGTCTGGCACCACGGACTCCTCGCCAAGCTTCCATCTTATTGCTTGCCTCGCCAGTTATGTTCTCGGCTTGCTTGTTTTCTCTTAAACAGGTCTCTTTATGTAGTGGTCGACGGAGTTCCATCTGACTCTCTTATCATAAATGCTGATGCTCCGCAAGGATCAATTCTAGGACCAACACTATTTCCACTCCATATCAACGATTTGTTGGGATCAACTTCATGTCCAGTACACAGCTTCGTGGATGATAGTACCTTATATACCGTCTTCTGTTCCAAGGCTCCAATACCAGCTAGGCAAATCAGAAACAAACGAGGGAGAAATGTTGACAACATAAATATGGACTTGGCAACAATCCTCGAATGGGGAACCTTTTGAAATTTTGTTCTAAAATTTGTTCTAAAATTTGTTCTATCCGTCATTCGAAGACATTCTTGGTATTACTATCTGCAAGAACCTTTCTTGGGAAAATCACGTGGGATCAATTGCAAGAAGTGCATCCCAATGACTTGATTTTCTGTTCCGGGCCAGGAGCTATTTCTCTTTCAGTCAGCTGCTTCTGATCTATAAGGCACAGATCCGACCTGTCCTGGAATACTGTTCCCATATTCGGAATGCAGCACCCAAACATACCCTAAAACTGTTGAATTCTGTCCAAAAAAGGGCAATTCGTCTCGTGGGTGATGCCTTGCTAACAAACTCACTCACTTCTGGTTATATTTTATAGATATTTGCATGAACGATGCTTTTCTGGAATATCAACAATTGTTCCTCCCTTGGCAGTCCACGCGAGATCAACCCGTCGAGTTAAGGCTTCGCACCTCTTCGTGGTCACTTTGGAGACCTGCACAAATTGCTGAACAAATTGCCAAGTGTTTCCTGAGGCATATAACCTCCAGAAATTCAAGAAGAACACCAATTCCCACCTCATTTTCCATGGTTCTCACGATGTTCTCTGAACATTACAGGATATCCCTTTTCGTGGGAACCAGTACATAAAAAAAGTCTGAGGTCTTGCTTCTATCTACTCAACTATATTATTATAATAAACGTATTATAATGATCTGTCAAGTACTTCATTTTGGTGGTCACTTCATATATTTATTTAAGTTATTACTTTCGGTTGCAGAAAAATAGCATGTTTCATTTGGATCAAGAGTGAGTTTGTTTTACTCGCAAATTTAACTCTCGCTTGGCTTCGCTAGACCCTTTGCTCGCAAATGCAAAATTTGCTTGTCAAACGAAGTGTCACTTTTGATCCTAATGAAACAATCTAGTATTCTTCACTTTGGTAGGTACCTGAATTATCTAATTCTAAAACTCATATCAGTTTTGAAATATTGAAATAACATATTCCTAGTAGGTGATATATTTTTCTGCAATCGGCTCCAAAGTCGTCAATTTTTGTTCCAAAATTAGCTCGTGAAATTGACGTTTCTCTTACTGACACAATAAAACGATTGGCATGTATGTTGCTAGGCAATACATCAAGTGTTTAGGAGCTTAATTTGAAGTATAATCCTAGGAACTGAAAACGTGTTGGATGACAGCTGATGTGATAGCTGATTTTACACTGTCATGCAAGTGACTCAAAATAGTGGTATTCTCACTAATATTTCATGATTAGATATAAATTATTTCGATTGCAGAAAAATAGCATGTTTCATTCGGATCAAAAGTGACTCGCTCAGGCACCTTTTGGGATCATAGGTTGATGGCATGCTTTCCAGCTTGGAAGATAGAATGGTAGGGTGACCTAAGGCTTGAAATCCGGGTCCACAAATACCAGGGACCCTCTCTCCAGCTGAGGCTCAGCGGAACCGTACCTAATAGCCGTATGACACTTGTTAAATTTGATGAAAAATAGGATAACAAAAATGATAAAAAAAGTATTTTCCATGTGCCATACAGTATAAATATTTATAATATCAAGATATTTAGAACAAGTCCTATATTTTTACGAGAATGTTTGCAAATCTGCGCAAATTCAACACCTTTTTCACTGTCTGCACACATAAAAAATATGTCATCACCCTATATCAGCCAAACCGGATATTGTATCAGAGGAAATCATATAAATCCTCATATTGATGATCAAGATATATAGTGTGTCAAATAATTGGCCAATCTAGCCGTTTGTTTTCAAGTTTTCAGTGATTGAGTAAAAATCGAAATTCTGATATTTTTAATATTCGTCTATTCCCATGAATATTACCTTGTCATGATGGAATGCAATACCTTGTATAAGATATCATTATTTATTCGAATAAAAGGATTCATGAGGTAGAAATTGGACGTTTATTTCTACTGAAGATTCATCACGACTTAGACCACATAATTCAAATCGATGCAAAATGTTCTAAACAGCCAAAATCAAATATTATCAAAACATGCAACGATCTATTTATATGAAATAGGTATGTGCCGTAAATTCGACTGTATGATTGTACAACCCCATAATCATGTTCTTGTTCCCAGAAAGACCAATTTTCTTCAAGATTCAATGAACATATATTTTGATGATCATAAGTACAATTTGCGCCAGCGCTGTTGCATTTTTATAAAATATATATAACATGTATATGAAATTTAACATTAAGTGAAGAAAGAAGTTCATTGTCGGATAATAAAATAGCCAATTGTGAAAACTATTATAAAATACAGTGATAAAATAAAACTAAATATCATCGATTTTTTTCTGAATGAATAACAATCAATCCAAATATAGCGACTACACATGAAAATATTTTTACTCGAATGAGAATGATTCTATAACGACATGATTAAAGGAAAATTATAAAATCGATCATAAAAATAAAACATATTTATGTACGGATTGATATTTATAGAATGCTTCTCGAAACATATATTTCTCATTTGTCATATTGAGAATAAGGGAATACATCTGAGATTCCATGATTTTCCTTTGTTTCACGTAAGCAGCTGACATATTTTTGTTGAAAAATTGGTCTACCATTTCTTCCAAGTCTTCGCAGTATATTTTGAAAGCTACATTCAGAGCAGCTGCTGTTAAAACTGTGATTGGGACAGTTGAATATTCTGGTAGAAGTGTGGAGCAGTCCAGAATGTAATAGACTGAGAATTTGGCGATCTGAAAGAAGATTCATTGTTCAGTTCAGGAATTACTGAATTAACCTACATAAACAGATAATCTTGAATATTGATTTCTGTACTGACTATTAATATGATTATTTTGGATTGTTTACCTCACCTATATATTTTTTTCTATGAAGGTGTGTTTTGTTTACCCAGTACTAAACCCAGCTAGATTTAGTCAGTAATTTACTCATCAGTCAGTACACAGTGAGTGAATTAATAGATATATTACATTTATGTACATATCATGTTAGAGGATATATATTTTTATCAATATCTAATTTTATCTGACAACTGCACAACAGAAAACAAAATTAGGTATACAAATTGAATATCAAAATATTTCTTTTTATGTTCTCGTTCTCACCAAAAGTGATATCCTGTAATGTTCAGAGAACATCGTGAGAACCAAGGGAAATGAGGTACGAATTGTTGTTCTTCCTCGCTTTTCGTTGAATGAACCGAGTCTTTGGAAAGAGATGTTCTGCAGGTCTCCAAAGTGACCACGAAAGGGTGCGAAGCCTCAACTCGACGGGTTAATCTATCGGGGACTGCCAAGAGAGGAACAATTGTTGATATTTGAGAAGAACATCGTTCATGGAAATATCTATAAAATGGAGCCAGATCGCCAACTTTTTTACGGTTTTCCAGAGAAGTGAGTGAGTATTTGAACGAAGCATAACCCACGAGACGAATTGGACAGAATCCAACTGTTTCAGGGTATGTTTAAGTGTTGCACTCCAAATATGGGAACAGTATTCCAGGACTGATCTATAAGAGTTATTCTACAAACTGTAACTGTATTCTGTATTCACTAATATTATTATCATCGAAGGTATAATAAGAAGAAAAATAAACAGGGTTTTCCACGGCTGTGGTGACATAAGCACAGGGAAGAATTTCTCTCATCAAAATATGAAAAAAGTTCATATGAACATAGTACATCATATTATTTTCTCCGATTTGAGAGAAAATGTCAATTCTCAATTTCAGAGGATTTTCATCTTTCATGCTCTTTTTTTTATCGTTTGGAGCGCACGAAAGGAAATACCAATAATGTTCAAAGAACATCGTGCGTTCCTAGGGAGGATAGGGACAGGAGGTAGGTATTGGAATTTTCTTTGAACTTCTGGAGATTATATATTGTTGGGAATACTTCCTCAGGCAATGAATTCCAAATCCTAGCCGTTCTATGGATGAAGGAGTTTTGATTAAGTGCTGTTCGACATCTTTCGAGGTTGACAACGAAAGGATGTCCTGACTGGGCTCGTCTAGTTCGTCTGACTGGTATTGCTAGTGAAGGGATGATAGCAGAGATTTCCGAAGAACATTTCCCTTAGAAGTATCGATAGAAAAGTGACCTTTCTACTGTGTTCCAATGATGTCAAAGAGTGAGTGAGTGAGTGTGGCGTCACCCACCAGGCGAATGGCTCTTTTCTGGATGAAATTTAAGAGCATCAGCGTATGTTTTGGTGCTGAAACCCATATATGGGAACAGTTTTCTAGAACAGGTTGTATCTGCGCTTTGTAGACCATGAGAAGCTGTTTAGGTGTGAAGTAGCTTTTCGAACGGAACAAAAATCCAAGTTTTTGTGAAGCAGCTTTTGCGATGGATCTGACATGATTATCCCATGAAAGAGTGGGCTTGGTATGGATGGTGGTGCCAGACATCGCAATATCGGGCATACTGAGTTCCGCCTTTCTAGAGAAAATACAGGCTTGAGTTTTGGTGGCGTTGAATTCAACTAGGTTGTTGGTTCCCCAGGCTGTGATTTCAGCAAGGTCTTCATTGACAGCATTGACCTGCCTGCGCCGTGAGTTCTTAGTTTCCTGGGAAGAAATGGGAATTCTGGAAGAGACCGCAGTATGGAGGGTACTATAATCTGCAAATAGCAAATAGCAAGGGAAGTAGTTGTTTTCTGTTGAATATTCAAAATTATATTATGTATTATCTGAAGGAGAATGCAAATTCCCAACTCCAGAAGATTTTGTTTTCAAATTCTTGTCGTGTGTGTTCGATAGATGTAATTCAATGTTCGTCATGGCATATTGCCAGGAGTATAGTTGTTCTCTGTTTAATAAACCGAGAATGAATTAATATTTTCATCACATAGAAAATGAGAATTCTCAATGTTTTTCTCTACAAATATATCAATTTTTCCATGTTCATAATTTTATCTGAGAATATTCCTTTTCAATACTTTCACCCAATCAAGGGGTTCAGACTTGAACGATGGAAACTTGTTATTTTTATAGACCTTCAATCGCAGATTCGTGATTAGATTTTCTTAATTGGGAATTTCTCTCCACGTCCTGTATGATGAATATCAATTTGTCATACATTCAAAAATCATATTATACTCACTTCTAAGTGATCAATATCAAGTATTTTCAGATAGAAATTCACGCAAATCGTTGGTTCTAGCGAATGAAGCTGAAAATTCATGATTCTCAGTACTTTCCTTTCCATTTCCACAAGCTGCCGGATGACGTATGCATTGTTGCACAAAACAATCATGTCTGATCCCTGTAAAAAATGGTATAAAAGTCTCCTGATTGGTGAACTACTTATACAAGTATAGGACGAAACTCGAAATCCCTTTGGGTATGTAGTCAAAGTAGAACAAAGTGTAATCTTGTTTCTGTTGACGCTATTGGCTCTTCATCAGGAACTCTATGAAACATTCCAATGGACATACACTTCAATCCTTACTATTGATTACTGAACACTTAAAAAAATTGAGGTTCTGTTGAAGCTGTGGCTTCCGTTAAGTGAAACATCCTCAACACGGAAACATTGATACTTATATGTATATATTTTTGAAGAGCATCGCTGTTTAACAATTATCACAACATGGACGACACTCCCCAGCGAGCACAAACATTCCTGGGATGTTTGGGATGTTTTGAAAATGTTGGCATGAAGATGTTATTTTGAGACGTAATAGACGTAATAAAAAGAGGTCTTTGAAGGATATTGAAGTATTGTTTTTGTTCTTTGTTTGCCTACTGAGAGGTATCCCTGGGATGTTTTGGGATGTTTTAGAAATGTAGGCATGAGGATGTTTTTATGAGGCGTAACATGCACTTCCTAAAGAGGTCTTAGAAGGATATTGAAAGTATTGTTTTTGTTCTTTTGTGCCCTTTCTTTGTTTGCCCCACCACAACGTCTCATGCTTACGTCACAATACGATGAATTCTGATTCGTTTTCGATTTTGTTCTCCTTGTTCGCAATTGGCATTCGCGTTTGCAGCGTGTCACGCTTACATCACGCTGCTAACGAACAGAAAGGAAGTTTGTGGAATTTATTGTGTTAGAAGACTTATTTGTTTTGTAATAATGACCATCAGATGCAAGATGTGTTGTTCGGTGCTTCAGTGTAATGAATATATAAAAGTATGAATTTATCAATACACAGCTTCTCCGCAGTTGCAAAATTATGCATTGTGGAGAACATTTCAAAACTTGGGATACCTATTTCCATTTAAGGGAAATGGAATCCTAATGAAAAAGTTTATTTTGACAAAAGGCTTCAGAAAAGTACCTCGAAAATGTTTTTTTTTACAGCGATTTAATGTGCGCAAGACGCGTTGAAAATGTTCTGTTGTGTCCATGAAAAGGCTTTAAAAAGAACTAGGGAGAAGGTAGTTATGTGACATATCAAGGACATCTCGATAATTGCCGGCTGCGGCGGACATTGGCTGTTCTCTAATAGTTCTATTCATGTGTGAACAGAACATCGCAGTGGAGGTTCAATGTCTCGAAATCTCGTACTTTTAACATCTCTGAGATGTTTTTGTGCTCGCTGGGTTCCGTTAAGTGAAACATCCACAACACGGAAACATATACTTATATATATTTTTGAAGAGCATCGCTTTTCAACAATTATCACGACATGAACGACACTCAGAACAGTATAACGGCAACAGTATACGGCCACCTGTATATAAATGTATTATGTAATAATCAAAATGTCATCTTTCACGAGTCAATTGTCAGTCATTAAAATGTTCTGGAATAATGGTATCTTCTCAATAAGAATATAAACAGAAGAAGTGAACACTCCAATGATGGAGTTGCCAGCTCTTCATATTTGACCAAGAATTTTATATTCTTCAGTGATTGGTATGTTATTACTATTTTCTGGTTCAAAAGGTGAAAATCAATCATGCTCGAATTGTTTGTTAGTTCTAGTGTCAATAGTATTAGTTCATCTGAAAATATATGAAAATTCGATTCGTGTTCTTTGATAGTGGCATTTCCATAATCCGGTCTGTGAAAGTCTTGTCTTTTTTGTGAGATATTATATGCGGTCTCTGATCGTCCTTTTTGTTTGGCCAATATATTTTTCATTACATTATAAGCATGGAATGCAATTAATAGACTACATTGGACTGTTCACTGTTTTCATCTTTGTTTTTCAGTTTTGAAAATTTGTCATTGATAGGAAATTTTGATAAAATATTTTTGAATTTGTTGCCATGAGAATTGATACATAAGTAGAACATATATTTTTATATTATTATTAGAAGGAACGTTGTCACTTACACTGCTATTGTTGATGTTGGTCCTCTGAAAAAGTAATTTGTGGATAACATTTTTTGGGTATCCACTTTTAATGAATACTTGAGAGCGTTTTTTTGAATTGTCATTGTGAACTGTGCAGTGACTGGTCTGCTCTACTTTTTATTCATCCCTAGAGGCAAGTTAATTTTTTGTTTTTTTTTGGGTAGGTACCTACATAATATATAATTATTCATTCATTTATTTGCCAATAGTAAGTCCAGTCTCACCCATCATTGCTCAATATGTAATGGATAATGATCAATGAATCCTCAAATAAATAGCCCTTCGATGTTACTTTCCTCAAAAGATATGTAGATAATATAATTCTCAGTGTCCACAAGATAGTGTTGAGCAATTGCTACCGGTCTTCATCTCTCACAATGGATTCCTACAATTCACTGTTGAATGAGAAGACTTGAGTTGCAGCGTCCTCTTTCTGGACTCAAAAGTCATAAGAAGGCTGGACAACAAATTAAAAACCAATTGGTATACGAAATTAGGTGGTTCTAGGAGATTGCTCCATATGAATCATATATATATTTATATATAATATATAGCACCAAAATGACCAGAAGTTCAATTTGGTTCTAGGAATGAATAAATTAAAAGTAAAAAAACTTTTTAATAAAAAGCTTTTATTCAAACGCTCTAAAAAGAAGAAAATAGAATTTTTCTTAATAATTTTAACTATCAACTTATAACCTCATTATACACAATTTATATGATTATAAAAGTTTGTCGCGCGATTCACTTGTGTGAATAAACTAGTACTTATTCAATTATGTAAAATCTGCTGAGATAAAATCTTTAAAATCACAATTCAATTAAATATTGATCATCGCGACAAGCTTTTATGATCATATAAATTGTGTATAATGAGGTTATGAGTTGATAGTTGAAATTATTGAGAAAAATTTTATTCTCTTCTTTTTAGAGCGTTTAAATGAAAGCTTTCTATTAAAAAGTTTATTTTACTTTTTATTTATTTTTTAGATTTTAGTCATCGCTAGCTGGATTTTTCGATTTATTCTCAACGAGCCCTTTCATTTGATGCCCATATTGTAGAAGTATATTGAAAATGACCATTCCGCCATCTTGGATGGTCCGCCATAATGGATTTAAAATGACGTCACATCATTTTTCGAGTTACTCTCAACGAGCCTCTTCATTTGATACCCATATTGTAGAAGTATATTGAAAATGACCATTCCGTCATCTTGGATGGCCCGCCATAATGGATTTAGAATGACGTCACATCATTTTTCGAGTTACTCTCAACGAGCCTTTTCATTTGATACCCATATCGTAGAAGCATATTGAAAATAGCTATTCCGCCATCTTGGATGGTCCACCATATTGGATTTAAAATAACGTCACATTATTTTTCGAATTACTCTCAACGAGCCCTTTCATTTGATACCCATATTGTAGAAGTAGATTAAAAATGGCCATTCCGCCATCTTGGATGGTCCGCCATATTCGATTTAGAATGACGTCACATCATTTTTCAAGTTACTCTCAACGAGCCTTTTCATTTGATACTTATATTGTGAAAGTATATCAAAAATAGCTATTCCGCCATCTTGGATAATCTGCCATATTGGATTCAGAATAACGTCACATCATTTTTCGAATTACCCTCAACGAGCCTTTTTATTTGATACTCATATTGTAAAAGTATATCAAAAATAGCTATAACACAAAATTGTTCTTGTTCAACTGTGTACGATACATCAATGTAGTACTTTGTATATCATCAATTTTATTTCCGTATTTGATATCACAATGACTCCATTGTGTTATTAATTAAAAAAAATCTCATCGCCCATGGAATCTCAAATTTCAAGCAATGGCGCCTCTGTCAAATAGATGAGCATTACTCGAGAGGAAATCAGATGGCTACAAGACGAAGAAATTAAAAATGTCGCTGTTATCTGTTACAGCTGTAGAAAAGTTATAGTGCATAATTCGCACAAAATGCTAATTTCCCACTCGTAGGATTGCAGCATGAGCCATTAGACTTCATTCTCGTAGGAAATCACTATCATTCCGTGTTCGTTAAACAATATACTAATTTCAGTGAACCAACATCAACAATAACAATGTATAGGTGACAACGTTCCTCCTAATAATAATAATAACAAAATATATGCTTCATTTCCGTATTTTAATTCTCTTGGCAACCAATTCAAAAGTACCTATTTTATCGATGTTTCCTAACCTTCAAATCGCATTCACAAATCGAATCACTCTTAATGACATAAACTACCAAGATTAAAAGACAACAATGAAAAAGTGAAGGGTGCAATGTAGTCTATATTGCATTCCATGCTCACAATGTGATGAAAAATATATTGGCCAATCAAAAAGAACAATCAAAGACAGCATCATATCTCACATAAGACTCTCCAAATTAACTTTTTCCTTAGCACACTATCAATACTGAAACTGGGATAGACAATTATTCAGGAATGATTTATTCTCACCTTTTGATCTTACAAGTCAATCGTACAATACTTTTTCTCATTTAAGTCAGTTTTTCCAGAACGTTAAAATAATGTCAACTGTTTTGGAGAAAAAGCGTAAAAAATAGATTTGAGACACCCTTGCATTATATATTCAGAGAAAGGAGATACAAAAATCCCAAAACATTTTGAAAAATTAATTTTCACCTTCTCGATTCACCCACATACAGTGTATTCATAAAATGCTCTCTTCTGCAATCGACACAAAAGTCGTCCATTTTGATACCAAAATTAACTCTTGCGAGTTGACGTTTCTATTACTGAAGTTGAACTCTAGCCAATCCAAAAAGGATGTACTAGAGGTCATCAAGAATAAACAACATTGTTAAGTACGGTTGGTTATTTGGGTTAGGACGCATAACTGATTTGTTTCCGATTTCGGCAGATTTGACATTTCATATCCATGCTGGAGATATAAATACACCATATTATAGTTAAGTATTTTTGTTTTGATCAAGTGAGCCTTCAAGATTCACATACTTGCTTGATTTATATTTCATTCGTTATTCTCGGGATGGATAACTTGTTTTTGAATAATCACGGACAGCAATAGTTTTTTGTTTCAAACAACGATATTGTTTACATGCATTTGATTATCGAGCCGAACACAGTGGAATATGGACAGAAATAAATAATTGCTTATATTATTGTTGATATGCTCACTAACCTAACATTCTCCATGTCTTTTTCCTTTACCTGGCACTAGCACGGTATTTGCTATTAGAGCACCTGGTCCATATACAAATATGTCACTCTGTGGTTGTATTCATATTGAAACTACAATTCGAACATCCTTGAAAACTGAATAAACCTGATCTGTTAATGCAGGTAATTAGTCGCACCTCACGGATTATTTTTTGCATTGCATACATACAGGGTGTCAATTTGAAAACTTCCCACCCTTTATATCTCCCTCCAAGTCGATAATATGGAAAAACGAAAAGACAGGTCGATTTTATTTTCGAGGGGGACATGGTTCTAAAATATTTTCAGCCCCGCGGCGTTGCCGCTTCTAACGAAAAGAAGCAACAACTTTGTTATTTCAAATGGAACACCCTGTATTTTATTGCATTTTTAGATTCTCCCTGAAAAGCTGATTTCATCAATGTATCTCACTTGGGGTCTAGCAGGAATGATTACAGAGATATAGGGTGTTCAAAATCGAGATTTTACAACTTTAGGATTTTTTTGAGTCGAAACTATTCATTATTGGTCAAAACGGCTTCCATGTCCCTATCTCAACTTTTGATTTACTATCTACTGACATTTATTTGAAACAAATACAGGGTGATCAAAAGTCTGAATCTTGAACCACCCTGTATTTGTTTCAAATAAATGTCAGTAGATAGTAAATCAAAAGTTGAGATAGGAACATAAAAGCCGTTTTGACCAATAATTAATAGTTTCGACTCAAAAAAATCCTAAAGTTGTAAAATCTCGATTTTGAACACCCTATATCTCTGTAATCATTCCTGCTAGACCCCAAGTGTGATGCATTGATGAAATCAGCTTTTCAGTGAGAATCTAAAAATGCAATAAAATACAGGGTGTTCCATTTGAAATAACAAAGTTGTTGCTTCTTTTCGTTAGAAGCGGCAACGCCGCGGGGCTGAAAATATTTTAGAACCATGTCCCCCTCGAGAATAAAATCGACCTGTCTTTTCGTTTTTCCATATTATCGACTTGGAGGGAGATATTGAGGGTGGGAAGTTTTCAAATTGACACCCTGTATATGGAAAGGTATTGGTGGTTACTTCACATATTCATTTGAGTAAATTCGCTCGGCTTCACTAGACGCTCCTCCACACAAATGCAAAATTCGCTTGTCCAACAAAGTGGAACTTTTGATCCTAATGAAACAATCTACTATTATTCGCTTGCTCTTGATAAAGTTTTTATTTTAAAACAAAATGAGAACAAAGAACTGAATTATATATAACATGAGTATGTAATGAAGTAATTGGAAAAAAAAATTCAATTTGAAGGCATTTGAACTTGAACCCCAAAAATTTATGTCTGCGGTGCATTTTTTACGGTGCAAAAATGTTTTATATGTCCTTTTTGGTCCCACTTGGTATACACTTAAATGATTTCGGGATCGCCCCCTCAGAAAAATCCTAGATCCGCCCCTGTATTGAGTTCCTAATGGAGAGCCACTTCGTTTTACTCTGACTGCATACCCAAAGAAATTTAAAGTTAACTTAACTTAACGGTATACAGATGACAAATGGAAAGTTAATGTTAACAGCCTCCGTTCGTTGAGATTGTTTAACTGATGGCGGTCGTTAACTGTTCTATAAAAACACGTTAATGTGATTTTTCTGTAGAATTGGCGAGTGGACTAATTTTTTATTATTTCTTGAATGGAATTATCACTCAAATACCTTTCAATTTCATATTTTTTGAGAATTTTTCAGTCGATTTTCAGGTGCTATAATCATCAATAATGCGGTAATTTTCAAATGGCTATTTATTTCACCGCCAGTGAAAACTGACGCCACGATTTCGTAAGTAGGGGCAGACCATATCACAGTTGCCATGTGTTGAAAGACGATTGGAAACTTCAGAAATATTAGTTATTCAATAATTCATAAATTTTCAATTGAGTATTGGTCATATTCCTAATTAGCAATAAAAATGCAACTGTCTCAAAATGATTCCTTATGATTTGTGGCTTATGGCGTGACAACTTCGCGCACGACTTGTTGGCGTGGTCTTGTCAGTTCTCGACATTCAGCACAATGATGCCAAGTCTCCAACATTCACATGATATTTTGTTATGAATAATAAGAAATATTTGGACATGCTGGTTGCTCAAAAAAGTCAAGAATGAATTATAATGTCACGAGTTCCTAGTATTATGTTTTATTCAACGACAGATCTCAAACATCTTTTTGATAACTTGATTATAATTGGTGACTTGACAACTTTGCTTGAAAAAAAAACTGTTTATTGTCCAAACAGGTATTACACCTAATTACAGGACCAGCAACATAATCAACACAGCATACTTAGTACAAGAATGATAAATAATAAGTTACAATTGAATATAAATTTACATCTCCATTCCGATGAGAGTATTTCTTAAAAAATTTTTGAAACATCCTATTGAAAATAGATCTATTTGATTGCAGATATTATTAAAATTCTTACAGATTCGGCATACGGAAGACTTGGCTATTATATTTTGTTCTTGGTGTTGTTAGATAAAGACATGTTTCATTTCGGTTATTCAAGCGAGGCACATGGAAGTTGAGTTGTGACAGTAGATCTGGTCAATCCACAAGATTAGGTGTATGCTTATAAATAAATATACATGAGTAATACTTTCTTCGGTCTTCGAGAGATAGTAACGAAAATCTATTCAGCAGTGAAGCGTTGTCTATACCCTGTTCAGGGTATATCCCATCAATTTTGAATGCAACATATTTCATGAATAATCTCTGTACTGACTCTAGACTCTGACTATATGTTGAATATATAGGGGACCATATAAGGCAACCATACTCTAACCGCGATCGCACATTGAGTTGAAAAGATTCATATAACTTTCTTGGTACTGGAAGTCTTTACAATTCCTGAATATAATGTCTTACATATTCTTTTAGCTGATGATATAATTTTAGTAATGTGTGGCAAGAACTGAAGTTTTGAGTCAAAATATATACCAAGATCTTTCGTTAGATTGTGTTTTTCGAGACTGTTGCCGTTTATAGTGTAATTAAATGCAATCATATTGACCTTCAGTGAATATGTTGCTGAGTGACACTTTTTTATGTTGAGTGGTAATTTATTCTCAATGCACCGAGCAGCCACTTGATTGATGTCCTTTTGAAGCATATGACAATCATCAGTAATTGAGTTAATGGATCTGAAAAGTTTCACATCATCAGCGAAGAGAAGTATCTTACTAGATATATTATGCGTAATATCATTAATATACAGAGAGAACAGCAATGGAGCCAAGTTACTGCCTTGGGGTGGTGGTGGTGGTGAATGGAAATGGAAGATTATCCGACCAATAACGAAACAATATCAAAACTGACGTCACCATTTATTCAACTCATCGCCAAATGGAAGCCATGACGTTACGTTTGAAATGAGCTCTGAAATCCAACGATTTTTAACAACGCATAGACGTATTATTTACATAAAAAAGCGTGAGAAGTGTTGCAAGACTTAATTCAGGATTCTAACGACACAGTGGAGTAATTGAATGCCAATAAAATCATCATCAGTCCACTCGCCCATTACGAAGTATATGTGGTTTGTTCTTTCCTAGGAATCAAAATGTGATCTTTCACCGGGATCACAAAAAGTCTTGAATGACACACTGCTGATACGCGAATAACGGATTCGGTTGTTATAATCCTCGGGTCTCTGTTTATGTTCGGTGGTCGCGCCTTGGATCACAATATGCAACCTCATCCGTTATTTGCTACATATCGGCCTTGTAATGCTAATAACAATAACATTATTGATGTCTGTTGGATGGTCATTATCTGATAGATGTTAATTCATGACTTGTATTCACGTTGGTTTCGTATAGGTATTCATGACGAAAAATGGCATTACTGAAGAAAATGTTCATACCGAAAAACAATTCGATCCAATATATTTATTCGCAATCCAAAGAGTGCTGATAGCCAACAGTTGGTACATATTCACTGGTACGGCAATTCTCGCTAATATCTGATCTACCAAGTTCACTGCTAAGTAGTATTCTCCCTCTGAAAGGCTGATTGTTCGCTGAAAAAAAAGGTAATTAACAACGAATATTTCACCAGTGAAATCTAGGCCAGGAAATTGGTGGAAAGTTTCATATGTATATATATGGGTCTTGAAATACTTCGTGGGTGTCGTAGATCAAGTTCTGAAAATCTCAATTGGATGAATGTTTTGTTAACGTCAGCAGGTTTGCATTTTTTGTCGTCTTGTGGACCTCAAGAATTACACCTGCAAAAAATAGGTATCTTGGTGATTTCATCAAGAAATCTGTGAATATTTCCGACTCTGATAGCTGCTGTTTTATATTTGTACAATTGACATATGGAACTTGGGCACACATCAACTGCATATATGGATCATTGCAGTAACTTCTGAATCATTCGAGATCAGATTTCGAAAGTTGGTGCTTGGCAAGTATACCAAATAGCTCATTGATTGACAAAATAATTTTTGTAGTCTCACTTCCGGTTTCACCGGTTTGCAGATGCTGAAATTGTTCACTTCCAGATATTCCTAAGAAACAAAACACAATGTAAGAAATCAGAGTTTCGAGAAATCACTTGAAACTTCATAAAATTTCAAGATTCCTAGGTGATTGGATATCGAGCCCCAAAATGGAGTACTCAAGGAGAATTCTTGTCTTGATCCATCGTTGATAATCGAAACGTTTTTGTACGATTACATTTCCTTTTTTGCCTTCATATGCTATGTACTATTTATGTATGGAATAAAGGATATGAATGGAAGTATCAGAGAAAAATCCAATCAGATCTAGAAGAGAAAACATACCACCTAATCGATTAACCTACAGTTTGCAAATTAGTTTTAGGTAGTGTGGTAGGTACTTACTATTTCACCTAGGCAACCAAGTACCTAACTGATTTAGAATCATCAATGTCGCTTAGTCAAAACAGTCAATTGGAAGTACAGAAAATATGAGCTAACAAAAATCATATCATATTATAAGATAGTGATTTCAAGGCACCTACCTGAATTCCCAACATCCAGTTGACAATAGCAGCCCTAATTTGTTTGTCAGGATTGAAGTTTTCCAGAAAACCTGTCGGAAGAGTAATCGTTGTCTCTATCGATTTGAAGTTGCACATGATGTCCTTGGAAATAAAATACCGATTATAAAGTAATTCTATCGATTGTATGCTAACTACCTCTAAATATTCTTCATTATAAATGTCACCAACATGAGTCGTTCTCTGACAACCTGCGAAAAAAAACGGGATAATCTTATTTCACACAAAAAATATAACAATGAAAATATCTGTCGCAATAATAAAAGCCTCACATCGAAAAAAAAAGCATTCCATGAGTAGTATCTAGATCAGCGGTTTCAAAATGGTGGAACCCTAGGGTTACGTGGAGACTATCAGGGGTTTCGGAATTGAAAGGGATAATATATTGTGAAGAATGAGCAGAAGACGCCGCATCTGAAGGATCAAAATATTAGTTTTTTCGGAAGACAAGAAGACCGACACACTCTGCTGGGATGGGTGCTACATACAAATTTGTGAGAATGGACAATGAAAAAGCATAATTCCTGCTACTATTGCAGTTGATTCACGTAAACCATGTGTGATTGAAACTGACATTGAAACTGTCAATAGGTACTTGAAGAGTACGCAGTGAAGGAAGCAGCTGCGGTTCAATATTTCAACATCATATCTGAAGAACTTGATGAGATTCCAGCCTATTTGGAGATGAATCAATTGGTAGAATGAATAATATACTAATGCTTCTGCAATGCTGGAGATTTGCTACTGTGTTCACTTCCAGAGACCAACACAACTAATTTTGGTGTTATTATGAAAATGTCATTGAAAATTACATGCAATGAATATTTATATAATTCATATAGATAATATCAGTTTTTCTGTTCAGATCAAGTTTTTGAAGTTTAATAAATTATGGATACGACAAAAGAAGTTGATGGAGCCATTGGTATTTTAACATGAAAAAAAAAACGTTCTAAATAAATTGTATGTATTCTGGATTCAGGTTTCAGCTAATGTCATGATTTCATGTAATGTCGATGAAATTGAAAAAAAAAGAATATGGATACTCGCACATATTTTTTAGAATTTCTGGATTCATAGGCAACAATCAATGAAAATTGTTACTTTCTTCATGAAGGAATGATCAACGAATACACTCAACTGGAAAGGAAACTTATGACCACTATTTATTCCGAAAATTTATGATGGATACATGCGGTACACCCCCTACTAATTTTTGAAACACCTGCTTTGGAAAAGAATGGTTGTCTCGGTAACACCTCCATTTTTCCTGAGAAAACGTGTTTGAAACCAAAATTCAAATCACTTTTCGATCGTTAATATTTCGAAAAAGATTAAATTCAGGAGTAGAGTTCATCAGATGAAACTGTTGCTGGTTTTCATCTCCTATTTGAGCTTTCCAAATTTCGTAGCGGTATATCAGATGGTAGTTGTAGAAAGGAGGGAACGATCTTTAGACGGGCTCTGTAGAGATCAATCGAGAAACATTCAGCGCAGCATTGTTTTGAGTGTGTTCGAGAATACTGGTTTCTTCTGGAATAGTCGAAGATCAGTTGGAATTTTCATGAACAATTCGGGACTCACTGTTCAAAAGAATCAACGTATTTAGCTTCGCATGGCCAAGGAGAGGACACACCATGCAATTTTAAATTTTCTGCGCTCTTCACATGGTCAACAGTTTAATTCTTTCCATCTCTTGGAGCGCACGGGAAGGAATGCCTATGATGTTCTTGGAACATCGCGTGTACCTATAGGGAGGATAAAGAGAGAAGGTATTGGATTTTTTTGAACTTTCGTAGGTTATAAGTTCTTGGGAATTCCTGTTCTAAAGACGAACGAGTTTTGGTACCTAGAGTGTTATTCGACATTTTTCAAGGTTAACGGCGGAGGCTGCTGACTGGGCCTGTCGAGTTCGTCTGACTGGTATTGCTAGTGATGGAAATAGCAGATATTTCTGAGGAACATTGCCGTGGATGTATGTGTAGAGAAGTGAAAAGTCGCCGACTTTTCTACAGTGTTCTGATAGGGTCAAAGAGTTGGTGAGTGTGGCATCACTCACCAGGCGAATGGCTCTTCTCTGGATGGAATCTATAAAAGTATCAGCGTATTCTTGGGTGCTGAACCCCATACATGAGAACAGTATTCTGAAACTGGCCGTATCTGTGCTTTGTAGATCATGAGGAGCTGTTGATGTGTAAAGTAGATTTTCGCAAGAAACAAAAATCCGAGTTTTTGTGAAGCAGCTTTTGCAATGGATCGGATATGATTTTTCCATGAGAGAGTATTGCTGATGGAAATACCGAGTAAAGATGGTGGGTGGGAATGGTGGCACTAGACATTGCTATATCAGCCATACTGCATGAGTTTCGCCTTTCTAGAGAAAATTCAGTGTTGAGTTTTGGTGGCCTTGAATTCAACTCGGTTGTTGGTTGTCCAAGCTGTAATTTCCGCAAGATCTTCATTGAAAGTGTTGGCCTGTCTTCGTCGTAAGTTCTTAATGCCCTAGAAAGAAATTGGAATACTAAAAAATAATGCAGTATGGAGAGTACTATCGTCTGCAAAGCTGTGGATAGGGCAAGTGATTGCTTGTTATGAAGGAGGAACAACGGTTGTCCCAAAATTGATCCTTGTGGAATGTCGGAATTGATGGCAATGGGATAAGACGATACTCTGTCCACCACCACATGAAGCGATGAGAGTTGGTATAGTTAGCTAAAGATTCTCCATGTTTTTCTAATGAAGCTTGCCATATATGGGTGACGTAAGCAAGTACATCTCTAGTTGATCTTCGATGGCGAAAGCCATGTCATAAGCCATAAGTCATAAGCCATACGCCATAAGCTCTCTAGATATTTGATGAGCTCAATGTTTATGGCTTTCTCCATCACTTTGGAGATGACCGATAACAGTGCAATTGGCCTATTGTTGTTGGGCCGTTTTCGGGAATTGGTTTGACCTAGCTATTTTGCAGCAAAATGAAAAAATACCTGACTGGTAGGAGGTGGTGAATAGCTTGCAGAGAATCGTTGTCAGTTTTAGTGAACACTTTTTGAGGATAATGGGTGGAATTTTATCAGGACCATTGAACTTATTCGTTTTGAGACGAGACGAGAGACTGGCAGCACCCTTCCCTACCAATCCAAGGCGGAGTTTGCTGCGAACAACTCTGCAAAAATGTTTTTCCACTTGCGATGTTGTTGCTAATGTGCCATCGGCTTTGAATAGTGGTGGAAATGAGCTATTAGTGAAATTCCTTCCGACTGCTTTAGCGAGGGACCAAAACGAACGGGAGCCATTGGAACAATCTATGAGTTTTGATTATATTCTGGCATTGTATGATTCTCTCGATGCATTCATTCTTCGGCTGTAGTTATTCCTTGCTTCAACATATTCTATTCTAGTCACTAGGTTGGGGTCATTACGCCAGCGATGGTAGGCTGTTTGTTCCAAGGCGATAATTCTGGAACAGTTTTTGTAGAACCAGGGTTTTGAACGTGATGATCTCGGATATGTCCGCGGCAACTGTGAAGGATCCTCAGAATTGAAGCCATGCCAAGGAAACTCAGAGAAGAAGATGTAGGTAATGGAGAATGGGCAAATTGTGGAGATGAGTGTGTGATCAGCATCGCCAAGTGGTACTCGTACATCTATGGTATAAGGTGCTGAATAATTAGTGAGGAATAAGTCGAGTGTGTTGGCTGAATCATTGTTGACATCAGGAATTCTTGTAGGTTTCTTGATAAGCTGCTCTAAGCCATGAGTGATGGTGAAAGCTTCGGCTCGTATATAATAAAACTCTAACACAGCATCTATAAGCTTTATATCAAGTATGTCGAGTTTTTCAAGAGAACGATCTTAACAGAAACTCATAAAATTTTTTGTTCCAGAAATAATCAAGTTTGAGTCACAAAAAAAATACTTTTCATTATAATTGAATAGAATAATTGAATTTTTCAAAAGTGTTTCCAGAAAATTATAAAATAATAACCTATTCTTATATTCCTATCATCATGAGAATAATTCATCCTTATATCTTGCGGATAAAAAGATATGGTGTAGGTATGACTTACCCAATTCGGCTTTCCTTCTCTTCAATTTAGGAGACCTCTTTCTTTCTGGTTTTTTCAGTAGCAAAGTATATGGAGCAGTGAATTTGTTCACAGGAATTGGCGAATAACAGTGTTCGTTCTGATGGAATATGTCTAATCTTGAAGTTGTGTTAAATATATGCCCTTCGTTCAAAAACGACTCACTGCAAGAATCGTCATATTTTTCTTTGATACTATTGGTTTGGACTGCTGATGATGAGAAACCTCTGCTTCTTCTGGAAACTACCGAATATGTCTCATAAATTGGTAGATTTTTCGAGTTCAATTCACAATTGGTAGGTATATTGTATCTGATTTTATAACATTCTAATATCTATTCCTGTATAATGATGATTATACCGGTTGGCTCTTCGAAAACGTTCCACCAAAGTTTTCTCCGTTGCGATTCAATCAACGAACAGGGACCACATTCCTCTGTGATTATGATTACAAATTGAACAATTCCCAGTTTGATGGTGTCTCCTCAAACGGCTAGAGATATGAGTGATTGATTTTTCAAAGCACCATGAGTGGGACACAGTGATCGGATAGAACCGACAGGTTAACTCTGCCATATACAGGGTGGTCCGGTTTGTAATACGAAAAATTCAACAGTGTGTTTTGTACTCGTTGATATAAAAAAAAGTTCATATAAACATATACTTTTAAATGCATAGTTTTCGAGATATAGGGTGTTGAAAATACGAGTCTGAATAACATTTTTCGATGAAAATTCCGAAGCGGTTTGAGATAAATTAACAGAATTTCTCACAGATACTCAACTTCTCATGCTCTATAAGTACAACACACTGTTAGATTTTAAGTATTACAAACCGGACCACCCTGTATATATCTCCTTCGCCGTTTGACCGATCATGGAATGAAAAATGATATGATAATTACAGAAAAATGAGTCCTACGCCAAATTGTAATCGAACTGTCCGAGAGGTTTTCCATCAATTTTGCATGGAGAAATTATGCGTGGATATTTTTCGAATGGCCAGTATAACGAGTAAAATATACCAAACTATAGCAGACAGCAGACCTCTATCATTTCCCAAGATGCATCAGAAAACAGTCTTCTGTAGGTACATACCTACCTACCGAATAAACCATATTTTGTCCGCTACTACAACTTAGATCACAAAATGATAGACAGATTGAAAAATGATAGATGATGGCATTTGCTAGATTGAAGATTATGAAGTTGATTTGAAAATATGATGCTGATAGTCAGATCATGAGAGGGTCTTAGTATTCAATTAGGATTGAACTTTTCTGCCATTTTGCCCTGATGTATTGGAATTCTCTGGTGGTTCATACTGAGCTCGATTCTTTCAGCTTCAGCAAAAGACAAAATCAAATTCGATCAAGTTAATTTCTCAAGAGTTGGATATCCTCAATCCTTAACCTCTTCTACATTATTTCTGAAAGAAAACAACAAGCATATTCCAACTGGATTTTAATTTTTCTATATCCCTATGAGAACAAAAAATTCGTTCCGAAGGGAGAACACTGGACTTCTCGGTTATACATGAAACAGAGAAAAACAATTTCTATTTCTCTCAATACAGATAAAAACATTGCATTTCACACAGTAAAAAACGTTTTGAGGCTACATCCAGGTTTTTTACAACGTTGCCGTTGTTCCTTCTTACACTTGATACTTGATCTGTCCGTACATCAAACTGAGGAATATTTTGTACAGGTCCCCGTTTCTCCTCTTCTTCTTCAAATTCTCGAACTCAATGTTAAAATTCTTTGAACTCTCGTTCGACATTCGATTTCATTTTTCTGTTTCTGTTTCAGTGAGGCCCTCCCTTTGAAGGAAACATTTTGTTCATCCACACATAGCATTTGTTGTTTCGTTTGTTTTATGAATGTTTGCTGCAATAACTGTACAAGTGGCTTCATTCTGAAAATCTTTCGATTATTTCTGTCTCTAGGTAATTTTTCATTTTTGTTGAAATGTAATTTTTTTTATGTCTTCCACCTTTTTCGAAAAATCATATCCGCAATTTGGGATATTCGACAAAAGGACGACCAGAAGAGTCTGGGTAGTCTGGAAACAGACATATAAATTAGTATTTCCAGGGACACTTCCGACTCTAAACGTGTCAAACATAGTGGTTTGTTTGGATCAACTTGAATAGCATAAAGATTTGATTGTAGCACTATCATATCCATCAGTTCTTCAGTGAAAAATAGTTGGAAATAGTATTTCGCTCTTCCAATTACTGGGGAATCTTCGATACCTTCATTATTATCTGAAAACATGGGAAACCGTAGATCCTCATTGCTCTCAACTTTTGTGTAATGGATTTCCTTCCGAATCTGAAGTATCAGACTCACTCTCTGATGAATCATTTCTATTTGGCAGGTATTTATTATCAGAATCAGATAGATTCTCATCTCCACTACCGCTGAGAATTGAGGCCATCTTCTGGATCAAGGGGTTGAAAAATATCAAATCGGGTGCATGGCAGTCGTTCCTCATTGGGAAAATATATTTCCCTTATGCAATTGACCAATGTTCCACTTCAGGAACAAACATAATAGAACCCGATATTCTACGTTTATTTCTGCATGTCCAGGAATAATTTTCATCATAAATTGTATAAAAAACTACAAGAAGAAACAGACATATTTTAGTTTGTTTCAATACTTACTTAACAAAAACTTCAGCAAATCAATAGAATTTCACACACATGCAACATAGCAATTATTGTAGATGATGTTTATGCGACTCACAGAACACGGTACTGAAGAAGCATGACATTTTACGGTGAATAGTAAACGTACCTATATGTAAAAACTTCACAAACGATAAGATTTCCACAAAATTCTAAAACACACGACATGTTTCGCTAACACAGTAACTTCGTCAGGTGATATACTGGTACAATGAACTAAACTAACCTTGGCTTGCTTAACTTTTATATATCCTACTTTCCCAACCTGAAGGATTAGTTACCTGTGGACAGGTTCGATAAACCTTCATTTTCGGAAATTAGGCACAATATCTACTTTAAAATATGGTGTACCGGATTAACTTGAAAGGGTTGATGGCAAATACATATCATTACTACCTACTAAGAAAACGAATTCGACAGTGGGAGGCCTAATTGATCGTTAAATAAAATGTCGGAATTCTTGAGTTCGTGGATTCAAACTGATTGAGATTCACTCCTTTTATTTCTATGTGTAGAATTTCGAAATTATCATCAAAATTATGGTTTTAATCTAATATATGGTTGGCGTATGTTGAATTTGTTTTCTTTTTCAAAAATTTATCTTATATTTATGAATGCGCTGATTGAACGTACGACCTGTCTGGCTGATATTTACCTTAGGACAGACAAGAGCCACAGTTGAGTTTGTATACCCCTGATTTTTCGAATTCAGAAGTTGTGTCTTCATTATTTTTTATACACCTCCCCAACGTGTTATTTCTTCAATATGCTACTTTTAAGTCCTGTTTATGTCGAAATGAAGCTAATTTCCAGTTGATGATCCGAAATAGGTTAGAGTTCTATAATTTTGATTATTATTCTTGATGGTAGGATACACTTCTTGAATAGCTTTATTATGAAGTTTTTCAGAGAGAATTCTGTTTATCAAATTAACGTTGTATCCGTTGTTGACTGCAATCTGTTTTATGATATTGAGTTCTTTATTGAAATTTACTTCCAAAAGAGGGACATTCAGTAGCCTATGTATCATACTATTATATGCTGCAATTTCATGTTGTTTTCTGTTTCTATTTCCATCGTGAGTTTTATGTTGCGAATAGTATATTAATATATTGGTGAAAAGTGTCTAATTGTCTATTGGTTCACTATAACGTCATCTACATATCAATACCAATACAAACATTGTATTATAATTTCACTTGTATTATTCGCTCCAAGATCCATGAAAATTTCAGCAAGTAAAGGCCTCAGTGAATTTCCCTTGATTAACCCATTTTTGACGCGGAATATATTTTGTTGTCAAATTGAAAGTAATTTTGTTTGAGACATATCGACAGAAGGTCTAAAATCTCTTGTTTGGTAATCGTATTAACATGGTTTTCATATAATAATTCCTCTACTGAAATTATAGTATCTTGGAGAGGTATACTTGGAAATAGGTTTTGTTCGCCAAATGAAATGAATTTTCTGATGTCAGGTAGAGTGAAATTTTGAATTTCAATTATCAAATCATAGGAATTCCTCAAGCTGAATTTTGATTGAGAATTATACTAGATTCTCAATGGAGTTATTAATTTTTCTGATAGTGTTACTGAAGGAGCTGTGACAAATGAAACTACCGGGAGAATAGAAAATGCCAAGATAAGATCGAAACTCATAGATTGTCTCAATGGCTCCCGTTCGTTTTGTTCCCTTGCTAAAGCGATCGGAAGAAATTTCACTAATAATTCATTTCCACCACTGTCCAAATCCGACGGCACATTAGCAACAACATCGCAGGTGAACGCAAATATTTTTGCAGAAATGTTCGCAGCAAACACTACTTCAGATTCCCAAGTAAAAGTGCCGCCAGACATTCCACCCGTTGAGAGTCGAATGCCCGAAATCGTCTTCCGTCAACGCACTTGCTTGGTCTCAAAACGAATAAGGCTAACGGTCCTGATAGAATCCCACCCATTATCCTCAGAAAATGTGCACCAGAATTAACACCGATTCTCTGCAAGTTGTTCACCGTCTCGTACAGGTCGGGTATTTTTCCATCATGCTGAAAGACAGCTAGAGTCCAACCAATCCCCAAAAAAGGGAACAAGAACCTGCCCAACAACAACAGACCCATTGCCCTGTTATCAGTAATCTCCAGAGTGATGGAGAAATCCATCAATATTGAGCTTATCAAATATCTGGAGAGCTCAGGAATCATCAATAATAGACAATACGGCTTTCGCCACCGAAGATCTACTGGAGATCTACTCACCTACGTCACCCATTTATGGCACGCTTCATTAGAAAAACACGGGGAATCTCTAGCTGTCGCGTTGAACATATCGAAAGCATTCGACCGTGTTTGGCACGAAGGACTCCTCCACGAACTACCATCATACGACTTACCACCTCAGCTATGCCATCTCTTATCGAGTTTTCTTTCAGGCAGATCGCTTCATGTGGTGGTGGACGGTGTATCGTCTGATACCATTGGCATCAATTCCAGCGTTCCACAAGGACCAATTGTGGCACCAACATTATTCCTTCTTCATATCAATGATCTGTTGGGAGTAACAACTTGCCCCATCCACAGCTTTGCAGATAATAGTACCCTCTCCATACTGCGTTCTCTTCCAGAATTCTCATTTCTTCCCAGGAAACTCAGAACTCACGGCGCATGCAGGTCAATGCTGTCAATGAAGACCTTACTGAAATCACAGCCTGGGGAACCAACAACCTAGTTGAATTCAACGGCATCAAAACTCAAGCCAGTATTTTCTCTAGAAAGGCGGAACTCAGTATGCCCGATATTGTAATGTCTGGCACCACCATCCCCACCAAGCCCACCATATCTATGCTCCGTATTTCCATGAGCAACACTCTTTCATGGGATAATCATGTTGTACTGGTATAGCAATCGATATTTCGAAACAATAACAATTTTGATATTTTAAACAATTAATTTGGAACACCACGAAACTGCTACGTACAGCTCTCCTCGATGCATATATTGTTTTAATATTAATAATTAGGTAAGTTGTTCATGAATAGATAATTAAACATGGTATTCAGATTTAGGACACAGTGTGAATGAATTCGAGTCTTGACTCTGGTCTTGTTAACATCTAACTGCGAACGAATAGACGAAATCAATCGACTTCGAGATGTTTTATTCCTTATCCTTTTGACTTATAATAAAGGAACCTGAGAGGATAACTGAGTTCATCACAATGTCATGTCCATCGCAAGAGCAGCTTCATAAAAATTCGGATTCTTGTTACGTGCGAAAAGCTACTTTACACCTCATCAGCTTCTCATGATCTACAAATCGCAGATAGGGCCTGTGCTAGAATACTGTTCCCACATATGGGCTTCAACCTGCTTCAACACCAAAACATACGCTGATGCTCTCAGATTCCATCCAGAGAAGATCCATTCGCCTGGTGGGTGACGCCACACTCACTCACTCTTTGACATCATTGAAGCACCGTAGAAAGGTCGGTGACCTTTCACTTTTCTATCGATACTTCCACGGGAAATGTTCTTCGGAAATCTCTGCTATCATCCCTTCATTAGCAATACCAGTCAGACGAACTAGACAAGCCCAGGGAGCACATCCTTTTGTAGTCAACCTCGAAAGATGTCGAACATCACTTTATCAAAACTCCTTCATCCATAGAACGGCTAGGCTCTGGAATTCATTGCCTGAGGAAATATTCCCAACAACATATAATCTCCAGAAGTTCAAAATAAATTCCAATACCTACCTCCTGTCCCTATCCTCCGTAGGAACGCACGATGTTTTTTGAACATTATAGGGATTTCCTTTCATGCGCTCCAAGCGATTAAAAAGAATAGGATAATTTCGTTTCTGTAATTTAATAAGAGAATCAAGTTTTGGAGGTTGAGGATTCATGATAGTTAATCTAGATTTTCTTAAAAGTCGATCTAGAATTTTTCAAAAAGTTTTCTATCTGTAACTGGTGAGAAGTAGTCTTCCCCTCCTATAAGGGTTTTTCAATATAATCATTCTTTTCAATAGCAATGACTGTGTTCCCTTCATCTGCTCTAGTATAAATATATGGTATCGTTTTGGGTTGATATGAATCTTATAGATTTTACTATGTTCATTTCATTCGTAGAACTAATATCTTTCCAAAATTCGGATTTCATGATGTTAGGGGCTAAACATTTGTAGTTAATATTGCTGAAAGTGCATTTCAAAGCTATTTCTGTTTCGATGCAAAGAAGTTCGGAATTATTCATATTGTTATCTTGTTTGATATTGTATTTGAAACCTTTACTTATCGATGACTTTTCTGTGTCCGTGAAATCTGTATCTGATAAATTAACGAATCTATCAAAAAATTGATGATAAGTAAATGTATTTATCTTGTTACGTGAATCGTGTTTTTTCGGGATCAATGAATTCAGTTAACTTTTCTGAATTATACTGAATGATACTTTCTATGAATGATATTGTTCTGAAATTGTTGATCTCTTGCATTTGAATCGATTAATTCAAATTCTAATGGGTGTAATCTATAAGCTAATTTAGTATGTATTACCTTAAGGTATATATTGGACTTATCTTTCTTGTTGTATTCTAATTTTCTTAGCTGCTTGATCCACTTCATTTTTCCTGCTATTATACCGCACTGTGCTGCACTACTTTGATTTGACGTTTTTAATTGTATACATTTTGGAAAAACATTGTTTTCAATGTAGATATTGAAGAACCAAATATTTTGGTTTGTTATGTCTGAAAAAGAAAACAAATGCAACATACGCCAACCATATATATCAGAAGAAATCCATAGTTTTGATGATAATTTAGAAATTCTACTCATAGGAAATGAATGAATGAACACAATCATTTTGAATCATTAGAAATCAACAAACTCAAAAATTCTGACATTTTACTTAACGATCAATCCATAGTTCACCACTATTGAATTTGTTTTCTTAGTAGGTAATAATAAATATGTATTTGCCATCAACCCTTTCAGGTCAATCCAGTAGATATTGTGCCTCATTTCCTTCAGCTTTGGAAAGTGGAATATATGAAAGTTGAGCAAGCCAAGGTTAGTTTATTTTCCATTGTACCAGTATATCACCTGACGAAGCTACTGTATTAGCGAAACATTTCGTGTGTTAGAGAATTTTGATGAAGTATGGAAAACAAGCATTGTTCAATCATTTCGAACTGTTTCTATAATTTCAGGAGTTATTTGTGCTTATATTTTGCATCTTGAATCTTATATATAAATTTAATGCTTATATGTATATACCTGCGATCTAAATATGACTTTGAACTCATTAATATCATTTGACAGATAATCAGAAGATCTTCCGAAGAAAATTGAGTCTGACTACAATTTTCTTCAAGAATAATTATGTCATCATCAGGTTCACACAGTGACATCACAGACACAGACAAAACGTGATGGAATATAATATATGAACGTGATCATGGCCATTATATTAATTCTATGAGGAGAAATATATGCAGACTTCTCTCTTTCATAAGTACTCACCATTTTTTGCTAATATTTCGACAGTTTCTGATGAAAATACTGTTCCAAGTTTTTTAGTCCCTGATGATGTTGCTATAGATTTTCTCTTAGCTGTTTCCTTTTTTTGACCGTTATCTCCTTCGAATAGAAACTTCTTGCCATGATTTCGTACATCATCTGCAGATTTTGGCTTTGATTTCGATTTGTCGATAGGGACATTCAGTATTTTTTTTTCTGGACTACGGAATCGGAAATTTTGCCTATTCACTGAAAGCAATTATTAGTATTATAAATTATATATTTTTTTTTATCGATTGGTGCGCACGAAAGGGAATCCCTATAATGTTCAAAGAACATCGTGCGTTCCTAGGGAGGATAGGGACAGGAGGTAGGTATTGGAATTTTTTTTGAATTTTTGGAGATTATATGTTGTTGGGAATACTTCCACAGGCAATGAATTCCAGAGCCTAGCCGTTCTATGGATGAAGGAGTCTTGATAAAGTGATTGCTTCCACTCAGCGAGATTAAAATTGTAGTACGAGCCAAGCCAAAGGCGAGTGGATAATAGCCATGCATCATGCGCAAATAGAAACCTATACTCTATCTACAAATTCTCAAATACTGAAGCAAATTTTTAAGCTCTGAAATGAGACTTTCAAAATTCTATAGATTGTTCCACTTCATCGCAGCATCGCTGAAACTAATGTGGCAAATGCCAGTTGTTATTTTGAAAACATTTTCTTTTACAAAATGGATTTGGAATCAATTTTTGCAACATTATAAGTTATTTGCAACACATGCAAATTTACGAAATCAACAATGGGGGCCCGGAAGACGCATTTTCATTTTGTCATTTGGGCGATTAATGTGTTCAATGGCCAATAATTGATTTAATGAAAGTATATGTTCAGTACTGTTCCAATCATATAAAACGTATTTTGCACTTTCATTTTGTTGGAACAATCGTAAATGTTCTATGGATTTAAGTGAATCAAGATAACACTAATTTTACGGCATTGGAGAATCAATGAGTATAATCCATTTTACACAGAACACTGGAACAGTACTGGCTGAACGATGAATAAAGGATATAGGTTCCTCAATGTCATAGTACGATGAAATGGCAATGCAGATGCATAATATTGACATAATTTTTTCGACAACAGACAATTGATGTGTTTTCCATTGGACTTCCATTTTGTTTTTTCAATCCTTTTGCGCATAAGTCGTCATTTGTTATTGTGAAATGTGAAGTGGACAAGTGAATAGATAGAAAGTTATACGAGTGAATGTATACAATCTCAACAAATCGAAATTACGAAAGTTGTATCAACTGGTATTCTTCCTCGAATACAGGACGTGGAATGAAATTCTGAGAAAATCACGAATCTGCGATTGAAGTTTAATAAAAATAACAAGTTTCCATCGTTCAAGTTTGAAGCCCTTGATTGGGTGAAAGTATTGAAAACATATAATTATGAACATAAAAAACGGATATATATGTAAAGAAAAACATTGAGAATTCGCATTCTCTATATGTGATGAAGATATCAATTCTTTCTCCGTTTATTCAACAGAAAACAACTACTTTCCCGACTATATGCCACGACGAATATATCTATTGAACACACACGATGAGAATTTGAAAACAAAATCTTCTGAAGTAGAGAATTTGCATTCTCCTTCATATGAAGATATGTATATGCACAAAATATCATTCTGAATATTCAACAGAGTAGGTCAACAAATCATAATTCACATCAGATGTCAGTTCGTTATAATATAGTTTTAGTTATATTATAGGGAGATAAAAATTGTGTATATCATGGAGAATGACTGAAAGAATAACTGGACTTCAGGATACTGATGAGGATTTGATATCCGAAATGATTTAATCCGAGTGAAGTCATAAAACCTGTTTGTGAGAGATATAATTCCCATATCACTGATGCGAATGAATCAAGTTCCAAGCTCATCAAGATCAGAGTTCATACATTTCAATTTTTTTTTCAATTCTGAACATGTTCAGAGGAGTTTCATTTTTCACGCTTTCTTTTTAGATGTTCAACATATATAATTCAATGTTCGACCTGGCAAATAGCCAGGGAATTAGTTATTTTCTGTTGGATATTCAGAAAGATATTATGTGTACATACATATCTTTATATGAAGGAGAATGCAAATTCTCTATACTTCAGAAGATTTTGTTTTCGAATTCTTATCGTGTGTGTTCAATAGATATAATTCAATGTTCGTCGTGGCATATAGCCAAGAAAGTAGTTGTTTTTTGTTGAATAATCCGAGGAAAAATTGATATTTCCATCACATAGTAAATGCGAATTCTCAATGTATTCATTGATATATGTATCCATTTTTTTATGTTCATAATTATATCTGAGAATATTCCATCCCTGAGCAAATTTATTTCTACCTCAGACTTGGGTCTTTGTTTCAGAAACAGAAACTGAATTCGTGAACTCTCGGCTGATGGACCAAATCAAATGTGGGTATAAAGGGGTTTCCGAAATTGGGGCGATGAAGAAAATGGGGTGTTCTAATGAGACCTAATGGCACGATGAAGAATAAGAAAAAAATGTTTTGAAAAATTTTCAACTGTTATTGAACATCCGGCAACATTTCAAAAGTCATTGTCACTTCCGGTGCTCGTGATTTCGTCGAAAGCAAACGCCTTGATTGGACTATTAACCTCTGATCGATGATTTACAAAAGTTTCAGACAAACCTTGAAGGTCAATATCACCCAAAATGTTCGTTTTTCGAGAAAAATGTATTCGCTTATTTCGTTCTGCTTTTTCGTCTCCTATCATTCATTTCATTGATCGCTGCAATTTGGGAACCACCTAGTGTAACTGAATACCATCTAGAAGTTTCAGTGTAGTGATTATCATCATTATAATTATTATTTTTCATAAAATAATATTTTTTTCTACATAATCTCAGAATTCTCTGTGTCAGAATGACCCACTCAATTTCCATTGGGAATGCATTGAAAATACGTCAGTCTGTCATCACTGGCCAACAATAAATAAGCAATAAATGGAAGCACTGCTTTGCCAATCTTGGCGTTAAGTCGGCCAGTGGACAAATTCTGTGATTTACTATTGAAAAATTAAGCTAATTATAGTTCACTGGGGTGATAGTGCTTCAAAAGTGATGGCCCATTAGTTGATGTTGGCTGGGAAACGTCATATTTTTTCTTCATATTTTCGTATGTTTCATATCCGTCTTTTCAGAAATGAAAGAGATTTTATTAGTAATAATGTGCTTTCTAATAATGAAGTCATCAAAAATATAAGAAGTCTGAAGAAAACAATCGACTTGTCTGAGCTTTTTGTCCCACATTTCAGGATTCTCTCATGTTGCTTTATGTCTATTCATCCTAAAGAAAAAAACTATTGAACAATCGAATTATTTAGCCACAATTTTTTGTGTCAAATAACGTGAATAAACCTTGTATAATTTGTTATCCTTTATTTATGCATACATCAGAAATAATTTTCTACAAAAAATGTGATGAATTGAACTTATGCAAAAAAAGGAGCTGAAAACCATCTAGAAAAGATCAAGTTCAGCCCCTTCAAATATTGTTCCAGAAAAAAAATGTATACGTTCGCTTTGTTACAAAAGAGAAAACAAATCAAGAACAGTTTTCAATATCTTCACTTTTTCATCTATGCATAAAACGATATAATAATAAATTCAGTTATATTGGGTGATACAGAAGAGAGAGAGTTATCCTAATATTTATATATTATGTAAATACATTTATAAAATTTATTAGCTATAAGACAATTCATGAAAATTCAAGGCACATTAAGCAATTTATTATATAGAGAGTATATATTGAAAGAAAACCATCTACGAAAAAATGTGGTTCTATGTGGTGGTGGTGAGATGAGACCTCTAAATCTCAAATTCAAATTATGAGCGTCGGTTCGGTACTTAATTTTATTAGTTGAATATGCAGGACAATTATTTGTAATGATCCTATGATATAAAACTAAGGAAAAAAACTTTCGCCTTTCTTGCATGGTGAGCCATTTGGAATCTCTCAACTTATGTGAAACAGGATCAAACTTTCTGATGCCATATATGAAACGTAAACAAGACTTTTGTATTTTTTCAATTCGTTTTTTTTTTTCAATAATATCTAGACACGGGCCATATAATACATCACAATAATTGAAATGACTGAGAACAAGAGCCTCCGTTAGGTTTATTTTGAGATCATTCGATAGCAGAGTACGTTGAGAATATAACAATTTGAGTGACGCATAGCCTCTTCGAAGGCATTGGCTGATATGGTTTTTGAACCTCAGGTCAGTATCTAACACTGGTCTGAGATTTTTCACACTATTTGTGCATGTCAGATTCTTATCACCAACCTTTATACATATATTTTGTTCAATATGTCTTTTTTCCTTACCAAATATCATGATGGACGATTTCGATGGGTTGATATGGAAATTATGACGCTCTGATTCCTTGATTGATTTGTCAAGATCATCATTGATAGTTTTCTAGGCATTCTTATAATTATCAGCATCAAAAGAAAAATATATTTGTGTATCATCTGCGTAAAGATGTGAATTGCAATGTGTGAGACTGATGATAGTTATGTTATTTGTATAAATACTGATGAACAACAATGGTCCCAAAATAGATCCCTGGGGTACACCACAACATATCTTTTCCTTAGAGGATTGACCTATAGAAGTTTCAACAAACTGATATCTTTCATCTAAGTAACTAGCAAAGAGAGCAGTTGTCTCATTCGAAAACCCTACAAATTTTAAGATAGCGCATAACAACTCATGACTAATAGTATCAAAAGCTTTCGAGTAGTCTAGAAGAATAAGTATAGTAGTTTTTCCAGAATCAGTGGCTTTGATTATATCATCTGTTATGTTCAACAAAGCAGTGGTGCAACTGAATCCGGGTCTAAAACCCGATTTTGATGGCTGATGTATCTAGAAAATAATCAAATCACTGTAAACACACATTGCAATTTTCATACCCGAAAATCTCTAGATTCGAATTCTCATGTATTCATGGCCATGAACTTCGAAGTTTTTGCGAACATCGTTATACCATTGACATCTTTTATCTCTCTTACCAAAAGGCATGTTGATTCAAATCGTGAAATCTAAGAGTGAAAAACCTACTACTCTTTAATCTACAAGCACTTATACAGGGTGTCCGCTAAAAGGAGGTCAATCCATCAACCATATATTCCTTGAACAAAAACAATATGAGTTTCCAAATACCATTTTTCATTGTAGCCCTTTTGTGTTTTGGAGGAAACATTGAAAAATCGACTCAAAATTTTCATGTAGGTGGGTGTTTTCAAGACATCTTTCTTGGACGTAAAAGATTATTATAGCTCATAGAGGGAAATAAATTGAAACAATTTGTACTTCCAACTTCAACATCCTGTATCCCAAGAATGAAGAAAGTTAGGACACATGTTTATATAAACTCTATTTCCTAAAACATCACAACAGATCACCCCCTGATGATTTTCGCACTTATTCAGAGACACCCTGTATACTATTATAATTATTCATTTCATCATCAGATTGTTTGAAGTTGTTCGAAGATATTTAGAACTTCTCCTCGTTTTTCTGAAGTGATAATTATTGAGTGTTTATGAAGTATCTTGATATATACCTTGTAAATCTTGTAGAACTTTTGCTTTTTCATTTGCTTTGAAGGAACTCTTCCTATCATAATATGTCTCTAGATTTTTATCTTCTTTATAAATACGGAAAGTAGACATCTTTCTTGGTATCAATTCGTTGAAACTCACAACTATTAAAATGTATAATAAGTCACTATATACTTCTTATCTTCGTATACTCTTTTTCGTTCAGTTTTTATAATGGCATACATAGCCGGAGCACCGGTTCCTCAAAAAGGGCAATTCGTTAGTTGTACGGTTATTCTTCATGTCGCCTGAATTGAAAGATGAGAATAAAAATGCGAATATATTTTCTTTTTCATTATGAATCTAATAGAGTCGATTCTTTCAATTGCCAATAATCGAAATTATATTGTGAATATCCAGTTAGATAAAAAACATGTTAATCAAGAGAAAAACTCGATGTCTCAAATTACTTTGAGACTTTGACTTGAAAATTGTTCTATTTGTAAAATGAACCCAAATAGTACTTGTTCGAGACGAGAATGGAGAAAAGTTCAGATGCTCACCGATTCTTTTTGGAAACGTTGGACAAGAGAATAATTGCCCACACTCAACAAAAGGAATAAGTGGACCATAGATCAAACTCCCATAAAAGTGAACGATGTAGTGGTATTAGTTGATGATAACGAACTAAAACACGATTGGAAATTGGGTCTTGTGAATAAAACCTATCCAGGACCAGATGGAAGAATCAGAGTTGTAGACGTTAAAACCTCAGCAGGTGTACTTCGACGACCAGTAGTAAAAATATGCAAGTTGGAAGTTGAAGATGTTCAACATACTTCTTCACCTGGGGGGAGAAATTTTAATACTTGTTAAATAATATTGTTGTTATATTTGATCACGATAGTGGGTGATGATTATGTTTTTGATAATAATTCCATTCGATATAACGTACCGCAATACCCCACTCGATGTCATCAATTATTTCACACAAAAGCGGCCAACACAAATTACTATTTGAACTCCCCCTATCATCGTTGCTTCAAAGGCAATAATTCAATATCAAATCTGATTGATATTGATATATTTTGTAATTCATTTACCACCTTTGTAAATAAACTCAAAACATACTTTTTCTAGAACCTATGAATCCTCGTTAGCGCATTGCAGATTTATTGTATTTCTTTCAAATTTCTTTTAAATTTCTTTTAAATTTTGTATACCATCCTGAGTTTTGATTAGGTTCCCCACTAAATTTCCAAGATGAGTATTATAATAATCATAATGTTATATGACTACCTGTGAATACTGTTTCTAGGCTCGTCCTGTTTGTATTCCTGAATATATAAAATAAATGAAATAAATAAAAATAAAAATAAATATATGTCATAAAATAAAGAAGAAAGTTGTCAGATTAATATAATTTGTATTACTGTTCATTTTGAAAGTAAGAAATAAATAACACTCATCACCTCCACTTTGAGCATAAACTACTACCAGAAATTCAAGATACCTACATCTTTTCTTCAATTAGTTGATGCAACATATCCTTCCGAAAAAAATTGTAAAAGCTTTATTTTTGCAAACGATGACCGGTATATGCGCTTGTAGTCTGAAATCTAACTGAAGCTATCTGTTCACCACTTCCACTTCCTTTTGTATCGTGTAGTGACTTTTTACGGAAATTCCAATGTAACACAGGCTGAAGATGAGAGACATACTCAATTCATCATCCTGAAAGATTTTATCAATAAGCACAATTATGTATTCAACATATTGGTCGTATAAAAATAACAGAGCTATCAAACTAGAACAACCAAAAATTAGATATGACTGATTATGCAATTGTCCCGTGAAGAAAATCAACTTGTAATAGTTTACATTATGGCTTAAATGATAGTTGAATTCAACATTCCTTGGCGCCCAGTATAGAATCAGGAGGATATGATTATTTTCATAATCATGAACAATTCAGCAACGGAAGCTTACTTTTCTAGCTACCATGGACGACACGCCACTGATTTTTCGTCATTACTCTGAAGCTGCAAACACATGTTTTATGTTTGATCAAAATATAAGTCGATATACCTATACCTATTCAGGAAGGCTACTGGATCGAATCCCGACAGAGCAGATCATTTTTATATAAAAAACGAGTAATACATTTCAATTTTCGTAGTGTCGGCCGGTCCGTACGAATCACTGTTGCGTTCCAAATAACAGCAACGAGCCTACACATGACACACATGTGCTGAAGCAACTCTTGTATGGTCAATATCCAAATGATCTGTATATACACACACCACCAAAGTACATTATGTACCTATAGGTAAAGGTTTCTATAATAATTGTAATGAATTTGACAAAATCTTTTACAACGAACAAGATGAAGAATTATTAATGAAAAGATTATATATATTTTTTTGGGATTTCGAAAACCATCATTGATGATGGCTGAAATTGGGTTATAGAAGCTTTGAGAATCTGTGAACAAATGATGCAAAAACGTATTTTAATAAATGACGATTGTTCTACCAATACGAAATGTTGCATATAGGTAAATCAATATCATTGCATTGAATCTCATCAAAAGTTGGTATGGAAAAGCATTTCCAGATTTTCTGTGTCTTAATAATGAAGCGTGGAAGAAAATTAAAAAGATTCTTCAAAAATTTTCTTTTTTTGAATTACTAAAAATGATGTTGAAGATTTCCGAAAGTAGTTGGAATAACCCTCTGAATGCGCAATTTTTTCCTCATTCAACCGAATCCGTATCTCCAACCGATTCTGAGATCCCAATGCTGCTGTGCAACCTTATCTTGGTAACAATAAGCACCTATAAGTATATCAATATCATTCTTATACTAATCCACATCAAATTTCATTCATTTTCATTTATCAGATACGACTTATTTCGCTTATTGAATTTGAATTGGAATAGTTCATACTTATTATTTTCAAGATTTCATTTAACAGATACGACTTATTTCGCTTATTGAATTTGAATTGGAATAGTTCATAATTATTATTTTCAAGCCTTCTTCGAGTCCAATGCCTTATGTGCCTCTTGAATAGGCCCTGTGGATATCGCGTTATTGCAATGTGAATTCAAATTGAAAACAGTCAGTCATGTAATGTTAGATTATCACTAGAAAAATCAAAGACAGATACATTTCCACACTTTGACACATTCATCCACTCAGAATATTTTGTACAAGTAGGACCTTTAATAAAATAAGACATCGACGATTGACTCGCCTGGACTCGTCTTCTTATTCTATGATGAATAAGTTAGGCATTCGACCGTGCTATGCCATCTTTCATCGAGTTTACTTCCAGACAGATTGGTTCATGTGGTGGTGGACAATGATCAATTATGGCACCAACATTCTTCCTACCTAGGGAACAATCACTTGCCCTATCCACAACTTTGCAGACGATAGTACTATCCATCCTGTGTTCTCTTTTAGAAATCTTATATCTTTCCGGGAAACTAAGAACTTACGACGAAGGCATCAGGCCAACGCTGTCAATGAAGATCTTGCGGAAACTATAGCCTGGGGAACCATCAACCTAGTTGAATTTGACGCCACCAAAACTCAAGCCTGTATTTTCTTCAGAGAAGCGGAACTCAGTATGCCTGATATAACAATGTTTGATGGTACCACCATTCCTACCGAGACCACTATATCTATGATCGGTATCACGATCAGCAATACCCTCTCTCTGCTTCACAAAATTTCGGATGCGAAAATCTACTTCACACCTCAATAGATGCTCATGATCCACGAAGCACAAATACGGTATTTCTTTTAAAAATCTCAACATCCTGTATCTTGAAAACGAAGCATTACCGGACCTTAGGTTATATGAACTTTTCGTCTTAGAATCACTCAAAGAATAACCCCTTTGAGTTTGGTCACGTACTTAAATAACACCCTGCAAATGATATTCATGTTCATATATTTATAATGTTTACCCTGACACAACCTATCATTCTCTAGCTCCAATTCTGATTATCCCACTAAGCCAAACCAGTGGGATATATTCAAGAAACTGAGAAATGATGTGGTAAATCTCCTAAAATTGAAAAAACAGCAATATTATTTTGAAAAAATTGATAGATATAGAAATAACCCTGAAGAAATGTGGAAAACTTTGAAGAAATTTGTCAATATTAAGATGAAAGATGTACCAAAGTGTATTCTATTTGAGCAATTAATCATTAAAGAAGATCTAAATATAGCTGAAAGATTCAACGCCTATTTTGTTGAAAGCATAAATGATATCATTGAAAGTATAGACGATTCTGAAGTATGGTGTAATGTGAATAATAACATGTATCATGAAATGACTAGCTTCAAGACATTATCATTGAAAGATTTGCAACAAATTGTTCATTCTCTTGATTCTAAGCTTTCATTGAGTGAAATTCTTAATGCCAAAATGTTGAAAGAAATTTTCCAAACCATTGGCCATGTAATATTGAACTTAATCAATACGTCTCTTGAGACTGGTGAAATCCCGACTTCCTTGAAAGTTAGTACCATCATTCCTATTCAGAAAATTACAGGTACAATAAAAGCATGTGAATTCAGACCTATAAATACACTACCCCCCATTGAAAAAATTCTGGAAATTGCCGTTTATGATCAGCTATTGGAACATATTTCGTGCAATCATATTTTAATAAATAATCAATCAGGTTTTCGAAAAAAATATTCTTGCGAAACATCACTACAACTATCACTGTGTAAATTCAAAAGCGACTTAGATAGTAACAAATATGTTGTCAGTGTTTTTTTAGATTTGAAACGAGCTTTTGAGACCATAGATCGAAACATTTTAATGTCAAAATTATCCCAATATGGTATCAGTGGAAAAGTATATGACTGGCTCAAAAACTACTTAAATGATCGTAAACAAAAAGTAAGGTACAACAACGTTTCATCATCAGAAATTACTAATAATGTAGGAATCCCTCAAGGCAGCGTATTAGGGCCTTTACTCTTCATTTTATATTCGAATGACATCGAACTATTTGTAAATTGTGAGTTCATAAACCTCTTTGCTGACGATACTTTGATAGAATATGTAGTGATTCAAGTTTGGGAGTAGCCATTCAAAAGATGAACTCAGTCTTGATAGATGTTTACAATTAC